TAATCCACACTCTAGATAGGCAACAATCCTGCCTCTATCGAATTCCGACACTTGCTGGTAAGCATTTCTTCTTCTTATTCGAGGCATAACACGATATTCTGATGAAACCCCGACCTTACAAAGCGATTTCCAAATGAGAAATCCACTGCACAACTTTTCTTTTATGCAGTGCTTCAGATGTCGTTTGTCCCTCCTGCTTCGTCTAAATACGCTGAAATACTAATCATTTGTATATTCCAATCTCTTCTTCCTTTCATATGATTTTGACGTTCGTACGATCATTCCTTTCTTTAATGGCCAGCAGTGTATTTTAATATAATATAACGAAAATACGGACAAAAAAGATTATTATTATTATTCCTATTTAGAATATTCTGAATTTATAAATAAGAACACATTTACCAAGATAAATGAAATAAGTTTCAATAACTATTTCAATAACTATATTAATCGATAACTATTGTTATCGATTAATGCACAAAATGAGTTAGTGAATGACTTTCAACGCACACGAGCAGATAACAATAGGAAACCGGAAGGAATATGGCGCAACCAATCAGAAACGGTGTAAGTCTCCATCGCTCTTCTCTCTCTCGTTTATATGGAGATTGCAGCCTATCTCGCTTTTTCTCCGACGTGCAGCGCCACCTTACTTGGTAAAGCGACCCGATCGATGAATATACTGTTCTAGAAGGTGAACGGTGTAAGTCACGTCCATGCCGTACGTATATAGAGGGGATGCGGTCACGTGATATAACGTTTCGCTCCGTCCATTAAAACAATCGTCCGCCATATCGGTTGCTGATTTGACGTTCCCTTGCTCGTTCGCTTATTATGTCAACGTGGAAGAAAGGCATCTTACCTGGCTATGCAGCCGATTTAAAAGATAATGATTTGATAGAATATAAAGAGAAAATTTCTTTTATTGGATGGGATTCATACGAAATTAAACCAACGGATTTTTCATCTAACGATTTAAGCACGTGGCCCACTATAGAACATGGAGGCAGTAAATTATTTGGTTTTAACAACTAACGCTGTCACACTAGATCAGATGAAGGCATACAAATCACTCGATGCTCCTAATTATTTGACAAACTGATTTATTCATCGTGAAATTTTATCAAGATCCATACGTAATGATTTAATTTTGCTTGTAGGAAAGGTACTGTACGTATCTTCATTTGAGACTTTCCATTTCTCATAACATAAACTATGTTATGTAAAGATGAATTTAATTTTATATTTAGTCACATTTTAAGTTGATTAAGTTGTGTTTATAATTACCATCAAATTTTTTCTTTTGTTCCCATGGTTTTGTGTTAGGCAGAAATCATGCACAAATGTAGGATATTGAGACTGGAAGCGAGCTGTAGAGCATATCGATAGGAGCAAAATAGACTAAATTTTTACCAAAAAAAAAAAAATAGCCTTTAATTAATTAACCACAATCAAATTTTTAGTAGAATGCATTTCAAGCATCTCTGTATGGATGTATTAGGCTGATGTGGGGTCTTTGTGCCTGAAATATGCTGATGAGATGTGTGAGGCTCCGGAAGTGGGTCGAAATTCGTGCATAGAAAATGTTTTAATTTCGTATTTTAAAAAAAAATTATAATAGTAATCATTATTTTATATTGTAAAAAGAAACCATCAAACGCAGAATAAATATTTAATGTCCATATATAGTCATATCTGTAGAAATTTCTGAGAAAAAAACGAATTTCTCAGAAAGAAACAATAGATGAATTTGAGTACTTAGATCGAACATCTTCGATAGGAATCAAATTGTCAGACTGGGGGACTCACCCCGGGCTCCGATCCCGTTACAATTCGTAACGAGGAGGGGAGACCAATTAGAGAACGAGGCAGATCGGCATCGACCTATCGGAATGTTCGATCTGGGACCCAAAAAAACTTATATAAATCGCGCAAAAATAGGAGGTGACGTTCTTGGTTCGTAGTTCTTGGCCTTTGGTTCGCAGTGCTCCTCTCCAGGATTCTTGTCATCCGAACATTCTCCCACGAGAACTTATCGGATATTCGGAGGACTTGTCTTCACCCTCTCGTGCCATCAAGATCGCTAAAGTCCACCTGGTAGATAAAAGACCTCGGTCCAAATAAGGTTGTGCAGCCCAGAGTCGACATCTTCACGCCACCATCGCCGGAAGAAAAACTATCGTCAGAACATTTGAACTTTTTGTATTACGAACTTGTTGCTCTACTTTGGATAGGCGTTACGCCGTTATAAGGATTTGTTATAAGAAAAATTTTTATATTTATTAAACGGTATACGATGGAGGACGTGTCTCAGTAAGTTTTTTCACTCCCACACGACAGTGCTGACCGCTCTACTGTCGCGACACTTCCCCCCAGGCAAACCTCACAGATGCTTGAAATGCATTCTACTAAAAATTTGATTGTGGTTAATTAAAGACTATTTTTTGTAAAAATTTAGTCTATTTTTCTCCAGTCAGTCCCTGATATGATAAATGTGGCTATAATAAATTGGAGGGTTTATTAGGCTAATTAGTTTAATCTTAATTTATGTTGTGGGCTAGAAGCGTGATTTAAAAACCTATTATTGTTTGAATATATTATTAGAAGTAAATATCACAGTTTCTTACATTGTTTTTGTACACAGGTTAATGACACAAAATCTACGGCACCCAGCTTTAGTAGTGTGCGTTTTAGCTAAGAAAAATGGAGAGGTGATAACTGGGCATTGCAATTGCATGGCTGGACAATCTTCCTCCTGCTCTCATGTTGGTGCTATTCTTTTTGCCATTGCAGAAGGAATTAAAATAAGGAGCTCCCAGACATGTACTAACCGACCAAATAATTGGATTGTGACACATGTAAAAGATTGTGGTTACAAACCACTATGAAAAATAAACTTTACGTCAGCTGCAACTGCAAATAAATGGCAATGCCTTGAAGAAAAAAATATACAAAAACCTTATTTGTCAAATGATAAAACTTGGAATAGTTGTATAAACAAACCTAGTAAGAGAGAATTTTAACAGTTTTTGAAAAAAATTTCTGTTTATAATCCAACTGCTGCAATTTTGTCAGTGATGCCAGATTACTCTAATTCTTTTACAAACCATATCAATTCATCTTTCTATAAGAACCTACTATTTGATGCCAAAAAAACTGCCTTGCCCTGGGATCAACTGTTAAATCACTGTAGGACAGTATTTGAAACTTTGAATCTGACTGATGAAGAAATTGATTTAAAAAAAAAAAAAACACTAGCACAGAGTATAAGCAAGCTGTGGTTTGTGCATGATCAGGTAGAATAACTGCTTCTGTTATGAAAAGTATGTGTAGAGCAGATATAGAGACTCCATCAGTTTTCACTGTATTTTACCAGAGCTAATTGTAAAAAAATTGTTTTTACAGCCAGCTCTACTCCCACGAAAAGATTCAGAAAATGTATAAATTTTATAGAATAAAATACTTTACTGTACAGCAAATTGTTTAGTTTGATGTAAACATTGCCAGTTTTAAGCAAAAAAAGAAAAAGAAAAGAAAAGAAAACCCAGAAAGTATTGCAGTATTGAATAAATATTGTAATTCGTTTGACTAATACCCAAAATTTATTTATTTATTTTACATGTTATTGGAACTTCAGTTGACAAAAGATTTCCACCCCCGAATAATAAATTGTTTTATAACAAATTAAAATTATATTAATCAAATGGAACTACACTGTTTGATAAGTTTATTAGAGCACAACAAATTGTGACAATTTTTTCAATTGTTTGCTACAGAATCTTTAGTTCTAACTATAAGCAGTTCAATTGGTAATGAACCATAATAAATTAAAATTAAAATTGAAAAAATATGAGTTAGATGACAATATCGAAGTCGACAACCAAACCAACAGCAATCAATATCGGGACATTCCAATTTTCAACGCGAGTGTTGAGTGTTGAAGTCAACAATTTGACGTCATCAACGACGTTCCAACTCGAGTACGACGTGCTTAGTTCCCATAATTCCATTCTCAGCAAGATGGATTCCATTCAAATGTCTTACCAATTACACACAATTCATAGGAAAGTAGCAGTCAACATATCTGTTGAGTGCTGAGTGTGTTGAGTCAGCGCTGACAACAGCGATACCTCAACGTTGAAAAAAGGAACGAATTTTAACGAATGTTGAGATCAGCGCTGAGTCAGCGTTGAAAATTAAAATGCCCCGTATGGCACGCGCTTCATAAGCGGAGTCGTGTGACGTCACGTGCACCCCCTCTATAGCCACCGTAGGTCACAGCCACTCTATGTAGTACGTTCTAGCTCGTGGAGTTTAGGCCTTTTTGGAATTAAAACAATATAAATTTTCGAACGAATTCATTTTGTTTAAAACGAGTTGGTTTTACAAATTAACCTGAATAAGAATGCACTAACCTGTGAATTTTCAAAGTGGAAAATCCTTTCTTTTTATAGGGAATGTCCACTTTTCTCTTAAGCGTTCATCACCAGGAAATCCAAAGACATTCACTTTCGGTCCACGGACAGTTTACACCACCGTACGTATACGGCATTTTCGAAGCAGAAGATTCGAAATATCGGCGGAAAAACCGATAAACCTATCGGCTTTTATACTGTACTACAAAATGCAAAAATTGCTAAAATTCGCAGCAAATGCTAGTGCTAAAAAGAAACTTAAACTTTGGCCAAGTTACGACCAGCGGCCACGTCGGCCAACTGGCGAAACGACAGTTTTCGTGCATAAATGTCAGGTCGGGAAAAGGAAGTGCGAGTCTGGTTGCATAAGAACGAACACTTTTCTTATTCGCCGGTGCCCGTTTAGAAGGCGGAAATATAAGGAGCCTTCTAAACGGTGGAAATATTTGTAGTCTTCGTCTTAACCGATAAACCCACAAAACTCGTAACTTTACGCCGCGGGTTCCTTTTTAAACGTAATAAATTTCCGCGCCGGCTGCGGAGCGTAATTTCAAGCGGAGAGAGTAAAAACGTCGGAAGACCCACCTCCCTTGACCAAGGCGTCGTCGATGAAAGCGGCGCTTTGGTCGAAGTAGCGCTGAATGTTCTCACCGGGTGCATCCATCAGGTTCAGTCCCAGATATTCCACGTCGGCGTCTCGGTAGTAACTGCTTCCGGTGTCCACCTGACCGAATTTGTTGCCGGCCGCGGCGTTTAACACGTGAGTTATTCCTTCCGCTCGTAAATACGATTTATTTCTGGCCGAGTTCCTGAAACGACCGTGCGCCGGGATTAATGATCGAGAGAAAGCGAGTAACGTAACAACTGACGTAAAAATTCTTGTCCGTGTAAAAGAAAAAACACCCGTTAATTAAAGTCTGGTACTCACATGCAGAAACATCCAGTTGCTGTTCCGTGTCGCGTGTACTCACATGCGGAAAGTACCCTACCAAAGTCTATAAACATAAGGTTAATTAAAACACCATATTATGATGCATCGCGGCAGTCGCCATGTTGGGGCTCTTTCGGTGTATACGGTGTTTCTAGAGTGAAGTTGATTGTATGTTTCTTTCAATCTCAATTAGTTGGATTTCTTGTTATATACAGTATATTTTAAACATCGAATTCGGTGCTGAACATCGAATTTTTACAATTCGGTGTTCAGCACCGAATTGTAAAAATTCGATAGCCAAAGGTATATTTGCAATCTATAATTAAAGGCTTTAACTAATTGTAAGTAGGTTTCAAAATAAAAAGCTATGTTAATTGTTTGTATAATAAAGTACGAGTATAAAATTATTTAGTTTTGAAATGCAAAATTAGAAAAGAAATTCGGAGATATTTTTTAAAATAAGAATTTACTTTTCTGTATTCACGTGCACTTTTACATTATACAAACTGCAAACAGGAGCTCGGATTGAACATTTTTATAAATAAAATTAGACGAAAAAAAAAAGAAAACCATTCTCACAAACTTTACATTTTATGTAAAGTAAAAATTCAAAAATATCTGCAAGAGATAACAATTTTCTTCATTTAGGAACTTTCTTATGCATATAAACTAAATTTAATTATTTTTATATAGAATTACATAAATATATTCATAAAAATTTATTAAACAGTAGACAAAAATAGAAATATCTAATTCAACTTTATTTATTGTTTATTTTATGGTAAAATGATTATTAAGCAACAATTATTCATTATAATATGCAACTTGACTGTTACATTGCTCTCAATTATTACGAAACATTAATTTAAATGACTGAAAGTTTTATTTTCAATTACTATATTTTATCTTAAATTTTAAAGCGTGTTTTCAGTCCACAATCAACATATTATAACATTTGTTCTGTTTAATAAATCTTTATTCTAATGTTTCTTTTATTCTGCTTAATAAGTTACATAATTTTGTTATGCAACCTGTCAGAAAACTAAAACTTTACCACAAACAGTCTATAGACTAGTAATGATCTGAGAAGGCCGAATAGCCGAGCGGTCAAGGTGGTAGCCTACCGCTCTAGGGGAGCCGAAATCGAATCCGGACGGTTCAAAGAAACCCCAGGAATTTTTCGAGGGTGGTCCGTTCGGATATGACGGGCCCCGTCCCTCACCATCCAGTCGCAGGGCGGAAAAAAAAAATTTTTAAAAAAAGAAATGATCCAAGAATCACATTTTAAACAGGATTAATTAAAACTATATTAATGATGAGTACTGCAAACATTTTATAATAAGTGTTAAATATTAAAGCAGTTTATATACTGAATTTTTGTTTTCATCTAACAACAAAATATTTTAAATCTCTATAAATAACCCGATTCTGTATTTTCCAATTTCAATAAAACTGTTACTTCAGAAAATGCAACGTGTTCGCACTGAATGATAGTACATGCAACAAATAGCATTATTTGTATCAAAATATGAATTTATAAAAGTAATAATAATTAAAAAATATGCATTAAATTTTAAGCTGAATTTTTATTATTGAATATATTCAAACAATATTGAAGCCATTTATCTCTCCTGGATTTGTCAGCGGGAAAACGAAACAATTTGGTGCTGAACACCAAACCATTTAAAATACATATATAACAATAAATCCAACTAATTTGTTATGAGTCATAATAGTGAGTTTTAATTAAACGCTTGTGGTTATTTACGTCACATTTTCTAAATGCATTGATAACTACTGACAGTTAACTGTAACACCGATTACAATTTCCAAACGCGTCTCTTATGTTTATAAACCTTACAGCAGTGGCATGCCGTCCATGAAAGCTGTGGAAGCGCCGCTTCCCTTGTATTTTCTAAAATAAATATTACATATTGTGTGATTATTTTCATATTATATCATATTTTAACGTTCTTTGAATTAATTAAAATTAATATTTTATTTTAACCGCATTATGTATCTTATTACAAATTTCCATACTACATGTGAAAAAAACTGACAAGATTGCTATTGTATATTCGAATATAAATTCGTATATGCATATTTTCGATGGAAGCGCTGTATTGTCGAATACCGGACAGCTTCCACGGCTAAAATACTTGAATCGTGTAAAGCAGCCAGATTATACGCATTCGCGCATGAGCTTTACAGAGCACCAACTCACGCGGTTTAGCTTGTGGATGCTACACACCAAAATATCGTATAACGCTTCCAATGATTTCATCCATTAGCCACTCGTAGGGAACCATTTGACTAAGTGCATTGTTTTAAGATTTAAAAAGTAAAGAAGATTTTATGTTATTTTTATGTACGTTTCTTTACAAAGCTATACTTAATTATAATTTTATTTTAATAATAATTATTTTGACAGATTTTCAGACATAAAATCTTTAAAATTTTTNTATTAATACAAAATTGTATTGACAGATTTTCAGACATAAAATCTTTAAAATTTTTTTATCACTTTTAGATGTTAATAATTTTAAATATTATGAAAAACAATTTTTCGAAGCGAGTTTTAATTCTTTAAGTAAATTTTATGGAGAATTTTTTTTATTAATCTAAATCACATAGTGAATTGCAATATTTATATTCGTGTCCAGACTATATTGACAAGTCACTGTTAGACAAAAATTATTATAATTAATGATGATGTGAACAAAGATGTACTAAAAGAATTATATGATTTAATTAATATCATTAATTTTTACGGTACCATCTACCAGTGCGTCTGTTGAGCGTAGTTTTTCAACCATGAAGCGAATTGATACATTGTCACGCAGCACTCACTCAGTTGAAGGAAAGGTTATCGTCACTAGCGTTGCTTTCGATAGAAAAAAAGCTTTTAAGTACTTTGATGGAATCGACGTCGAGCGATTTTTAAGATAAAGTAATTAACGACTTTTCGGAAAATTTGCCGAATAGAGTTAGTTTATAAAAAATAATGAAAACAAGTTCTAACATTTTTGTTTCATGCAAATTATCTATTTCAGAATTAAAATAAACAAACTGTTTATTTTTATCATTTCCAGTATTTGTTTAAAAATTTTTTATAGAAACACAGTTTGAGTTTTACACCAAATAGTCACAGATCTTATAAAATAATTTTATTTGGAACTCTATTACAAGGATTGGCAGCAGTACAACGCACGTGATAAGAATGAACTCGACATGGAGTAAGTACTGTATAAGTGGAGTGGACAGTGAGGCAAAATCATGTTTAACTGCTGCGAGCGATCCTGGCGGTTGGGGTGTACACACCAAAGAATCAACGCATTGCTTATTGCGACCGGTTAAATGTTTTTTTGCACACCACCCAATCATCGCATTGCACATTACAGTTAATTGTCACCCCAGCCGCTAGGGTCGCTCTGGTCCGGTGGACAAGTTTTAAAGCATAGAGAGTATAGGAACTGTCCACTCCATGTATACTTACTCCATGGAACTCGAGAGAGATACAAAAGACTAAATCTGGGAACGCGCTGAAGTGTTGCCAGGTTGGCCACAATAGCTTCCCTATCATCAAATCTCACGGCACGCCACTGCTTTGCAGTATCTTAATAACAGCGCTACAGAACAGGAAAATACACGAATCTTCTCTGGAAACTTGTGGATACACTACCGGATTTGCGGAAATACTAGCTATTAGCCACGAAAAAAATAGTTTTATCGATTTCAGCCGAGCAACGTCGTTTACCTTAAGTCTTGATTTCGTAATTTCGCATTTATCGTATTAATTTAAAAATCGTATTAAATGTATCGTAGTAAATAAAAACATAAACGCACGGCGTCACTTCAACAATATCTAGGTATTTTCCTGGAAAACGAAACAGAGCTTGTAGCGTGCGTTTTAGTTTTCCTGTCGGATAGGAAAACGCACATATGCCGATACGCTCGTAACTTTCTGTCCGAAGGGGTTAAAAACTGGCAAGTCGGAGCAAGGGTGTCGTTTCCACTATGGAAGGTATGGAAGACTCCATACCTCACATTTTTGCAGGTATGAAATTCCATACCTCAGAATATTGAAAAAATTATTTATAATTTAATGCAAGACAAGCCAAGGCACTTGCTCTCTGTATGAAAACAATTTTTTCCTTGGATGTTGATCAATCGAACTCTTACATAATCTAAAGTAAAAAGAATTTTCTAATTCTAAGCAATGCATCACCATTTTGTGAAAGTGGGATCCTGCTTTCACAAAATTTCATACCTCAACTTTTAAAGAACCGACGCCCATGAGTCGGAGAGTGAACGGACGCGTCAGGGCTGCTTCACACTATGACCGACTGGACCGACCCGACCGATTTTATAATCGGACCGACTAGTAGTAAAAGCATTCACACTGACTTGTGAGTACGATTATATGTTGGTAGCCGACTCGTAAGGACCAATCGGAACGCGTGTTACAGATCAATACACTAGCCAATCATGGTAAATTTTTTAAAATTAATCAGAAAACATGGTCGTCATGGAAAGCGATCGTGCATTTAGATATATCGCGTCATTATTAGATTATTAGATTAGTCAATCACGTACCTTCAACGTTTAGTTTCTTGGAAATTTCCGTCCAAGAATTATTTTTTTATGTTGTCATAAAGCCAAGGATATGTTCTGACTTCGTTTATTAATTAAAGCTTCCGATAAATCTATACTTTCCGCCATTTTCTAACTTCGACGTAGATTGGATAAATCTAAACTCTGATTGGTTATAGCTTCGAAGCTCTCATTGGCTGTAGCTCATCGACTACTCCGACCCGACTACAAATATTTAACTTTTCAAATCTGTCCGATTGGAACGACTAGTCGGTTGGCAGACTGCTGTTGCCATGGCAACACGACTTGGAGTCGGGCTAGTCGGTCCAGTCGGTCATAATGTGAAACAGCCTTCACACGTCACAACCGACGAAAACGTTAAGAAAGGTTTAAAACATTCAGCACGCGGGTGGACGTTTTAAAAAATTTCTACGGTCACTAGACGGTGCAGGCGAAATGCCCACCGTAAAGATAGAAATAGAAATTTGAGTAGAGATCGAGGCAAATGGACAGCAACGGTAAAAGACGGCAATCGGACCGCAGACTACGGGACGGATATCCACTTGCTGTATTTCACTTATTATTAATTAAGGAGCGCGCGTGGTTCAGTGACTACTTGGCAAAGTGTTACGAAAAGAAGTTATCGCCGGAGGTACGATACGCTTTTACCGCTAATGCCACAAATAAAAAATAAAGACGAAGACCACTTACTCGTCTCCCACGTAAATATCGGTATAAACTCGATGGCAGTCCACGGCGAAAGCCCCGAGCGGCGTACGGTACGGAACGACTCGGACCAGAACCTTCTGCAGGTGATCGATGGCACTCTTCTGGTAACGACCGGCCATGGCCGCCTCTGCAAAAGAACACCGTTTATCGCTAATCTTAAACAACACTGTAGCCATTGGCCTTTTTCGAGTATCAAAATAAATACATATAAATAAAACACAAACAAGCAACAAAAAAAAAAAACATAAAAAATAGAATTGTGTTTAGTTTTGCGTTAATAATTACTTAAAGTTCTCAAATCTTTTTAATCTTTTAAAGCATTCCAATTATATACGAACTAGCAGATGAGCCCGGCGTTGCTCGGGCAAAAAGTAACGATAGCGAAGATTAAGGCCCTGTACACACTAGGCGTTTTTAAACGAGCGTTTAGCGGAGCGTGCGCACTGGCTCGGTTTGGAAATGGATGTGGAAGTGATTGCTTGTGTGTGGCTCCTCTATCGTCGCTATAAAAGACGACGGCAGAGGCAAAGAGAATTTTGGGTGCACCCAATATTACGAGATAGACTGACGCATGAAATGTTTGCGACGTTGTATCCAAAACTAAGACAAAATAAATTCAAGTTTTTTAATTCTTTTAAAATATCTATAAAATCCTTTGACGATGGTTGGTCTCTTNGACGACTTACTCCATATTATAAAAGTAGATATTACCCAAAAGCGCGCGATCGAATATACAGCAAAATGGCGGCGTAAATCTAGAAGCGCCCGTAAAGCGCCGGGAAAACGCGCGATCGCATGTACGGTAACATGGCAGCACATATATCTCAAAGCGCTCGGCTAACGCCCGCAAAACGCGCGTTTTAACAAAAATCTATAAACGCGCGTTTAACGCGCGCTTGGCCAAAAGCGCGCGTTTGAGTGTGTACGGCTACTAAGGGTACGTTCGTAAAGTCGAACGAGTTAAATGAGAATAACGTCATCGTTATTCTTATTTCGCAGTGGCGTAGCGTGGGTGTCATCCACCCGGGACGGAGGAAAATTTCGCCGCCCCTTTATGTATCTCAATTTAAAAGACTAAAATTCAGTTTTGTCTCACAGAATAAGTAATGAAAAATTCCGTGCTCATTTCAATCGGTCCGAATCGTAGTGCGACAAAAATATGAAATGAAATGGTTCAAATTTTTACAAGATACTATTATTATTTGTTGTGAAATTTTGCCGCCCCCTAAAAGTGCCGCCCGGGGCGGGCCGCCCCTGCCTCCCCCACTACGTTACTCCACTGGCTCAAACATTATCGTTTTCGGGAATATCTAAATGAATTTTCCTAAGGCTTAAGCTATTAATTAAATTGGAAAACTAATTCGGTTGCCGAACCCTGGGTTCCGCGAGGCGTCGGTCGGGAACCATCCAACGCGGAGCTATCCGCCTTTCTTCTTGGCAATCGTTTGCGCGCTACCACTTTAAATAGTAACGCATGTAAGAATCCCAGAACTATAAATAATCTTCGGCGTCGACGTCTGCCGTCGGTTAGAAATTTCGTTACGGCAGCGACGGACGATTATATTATGAAATTTCACCAATTATACCGGAAGTACGTGCGACGGTCACCGGAAAGGAATTACGGAAGCGGAAACATTGTCGACCAACACGCCATCCGCGCTCCTGTCCGACCTTTACTTTCCGCCGGCGACGAATTTCCGAGTAAAAAGAGACGACCCGAGTTGGAAGATTACCTTTAGAATAATTGTCGGAGGACGGTCGACGGAAATTACCAGTCGACGTAATCTCGTTCCGTCAAGCGTCGTAGTCCGTTAGACAAACATCTAGACCCCCCGAGCGAGCATTAATGTCCATTTCTTCCGCATCGTGGCGTATATGCAACGTCGGCTTTTTCGCCCGATCCGAACAGTAAAAATAACGCGTTTATCGTACCGTCGACGTCAAGGAACTCGTTGTACATGAAATAAAAAGGAATGAAGCGAGTGTGGTTTAAAATATAGTCTTAGACAAAGTTTAAGCGGGCGTATTAAGACAAGCGAGCACATTAGGGGCGACGATGGCAGTGAAAAAATATTAAAGTATTTAAGTGCGGGTTCTGTTCACTTACGTATCACAAAAAAGAAGGTATTTTTAATATCGACGTCCCCAATATCGGTACGTATTGTTCTATCGGAGACATGAACAGAAGAACGACGAAGAAAAATGAAACTTGTTACGAACGGAAGAGTGGACGAAAGTGGATGTTGTAGGCAGAGTTCGAATGTTCAGTTACCAAGGTGATTTCCTAGCTACTTCCAGGGGTAGAAAATGTGTTCGATATTCTTGCATTCATATCATTTATGATCTAAGGGACTAATAAAAATCGATATAGGGATTTGTCTACTTTGTAGTAATCGAGTAGGTGTAATTTTTCGAACATTTAAATGATTTATAAAAAAATTACACCTAAGCCAGCACAAAGTTAGTAAGATCGTAAATGACATCGTAAATGCCAGAATACCGAATATCTTACGCATATTTTCCCGGCAAATCGTCTTCATAACACGACCTTTTAACTTTCACCCCAATAAGCATCGTTGTCGTAACCGTTTAAAGTTTATTTTTCGTTATTAGCGAGGTTGCGGCCGAAGTTTTCATCTCTAAAACGTGAACGTCGAGCGCCACTTACAAGAAGCGGCGCTCGACGTTCGACGTTAACGTTATAGAGATGAAAACTTCGGCTTCAACCTCGCTATTAATGTGCTACGGTTCTTGTGGAATGGATGAATATCTCCGAAACAATTTATTGTTTCTAGGTACCGTAAGCTTAATTCCAAAAATAGGACAGAAGTTTAAATAACATTAATATGTATAAGTGACGATTGACAACTTAACCAGATTAGTGTTTTCTAACAGATAAACGGTATCGTTCGGCTCTTTACGACCCGTCCTCCTACCCGTCCCTATTTTCGGCGTCTTTATTCGACGCCTGCGGTGGAAATTAGTCCTCCGAAAGAGTATTTGAACCGATTGCTTTAGTTTTAAATGTGATAGATATCTCATTTGAAGGGTCAGGGAATTGTAAAAACGCCCGTTAAGTAGAGATGCCGCTATTCGAGAGTGTCCGTTAACTGAAGTTTCGCCGTATTATGATTTCTCGTTTACAGATCTGACTTAACTCTGGAATGGTAGAAGTTGGTAGCCAGAAAAAATTTCCAGAAGCATTTTTAGAGTGAGAAAATATCGACCTTTTATTTTATTCATAATTCCATCTTGTAATCTTACTATTTAGAGCATTCCGTTCTAAACATTATCGTATTTCCCTTCTTAATTGAAGTTTTTTAGACTATTTACAAAAATTAAATTTTTTGTAAATAGTCTAAAAACTTCAATTAAGAAGAAAAAATATATATATATCCTGAGTTATCACAAAAATTATCGTATTTCTTTATAGAGAAATCATTTATTTATAAGTAAGGTGTCTAGATAAAAAAATTAAGTTATTTTCTTTTTTAACTAATAGTAATTACGATTAAAGCATTCGTAATTTGTAATTATGACCAGATAATACAGACAATACAACAAATCGGCTATTGGCGCCATTTGCCGCAGCGGCAAAATTTAGAAATAATGCGCGCTCGGAGTCTATACGTTTGTGTCCGCTAGGGTTAACTTAATAAACATGGCGGCGTTGACAGTAGGTCTTCTGATGGTCGGAGCATGTTTACGTCTGTTGTTGATAAATTCTGAATTACGCGACAAACTAGTCGACAGGATAGAAATATCTACTCCTCTTAATTCTTGGAAGAGAGGTGATTCCGATCTTTAAATCATTTCGTCAATTATCTCCGTCCGTTCTCATAGTTTCCGGTACGACGGACGCGTCTCGTCTGCTTAAATAACATGCCACGTACGCGTTACGTCGTGCGGATTAAAAATAATGCGAAAGTGATACATTTTTTTTTTATAACCGAACTTCTCATGATGTGTTGACGGCGCCGGGTATCCGACGTTCCCGCGCGAAGAAAATTTAGACGCCTCTGTATTGCCTGTATATATGCGCGTGTTTATTAATGTATCCTGGCGCGTACGTACAGTACACCCGTTACCCCCGTCTGGATATTTATAAATATCGTTATAGGAATGTTTTAAAGTCTTATTAATCGACGCTAATACGTTTGTGTGTACTGTGTGTGTGATTACTCCTAAACTCTATGGGACGACGATTATTACCATGACTTATTAGCTTTATTTACGAAAACGCCTCTGCTCTATGGTGTTTGGTGTGAAAACGGAGGCATGAAGTCGGTGCAGTGGCGGCAAAATTTCACAATAAATAATAATAATATCTTATAAAAATTTGAACCATTTCATTTCATATTTTCGTCGCACCTACGATTCGGACTGATTGAAATGAGCATGGATTTTTCATTACTTATTCTGTGACAAAACTGAATTTTAGTCTTTTAAATTGAGATACTTAAATAACACCCATGCTACTCCACTGAGTCAGTGTGGGTGTTCGTGTGCTGTTCTGCCCAAAAGACTATACCAACTGTGTCTTTGTGGAAAGGCGGACTTCGTGTCGTCTGTGTGTGTCACAGATGATTATTATGGCTAAATACAAGAATTATGGAAGACTGTCTTTCCGACCGTTTGCTTTGGCAGAGTTTTGAATTAATTTGTCTGTCATTTGGTGCTGGATGTCAGTGGTATTGAGATCAAAGTGTCGGAGTTTGAGGATGACCGGGCTGTTTTGGCGGGGAGTCCCGATTCGTAAGAAGTGCCACAAAAGAGGTCGGTGGCATGGTAAAAAATCATGGCATGAACATTGACGTTGCCAAGTTCAGACGTGTGGTCTTATTGTTATGTAAATATAACGGTGGCATTGAACCACTGGTGACAGTTTGTGAATTTATTTATCTGGGGCGTGCAATGACTGGAGGTATGGAGACACATCATGTTGGCTGGGCAAACCTTCCAAAATGAGGTAAACCTCTGATTGACGAAAATAAATTCAATAAAAAGAATTCTGCACGCTTTTGTGCACAAGACCCTCATCAGCCATACATAAAAATATATAGATATCTACAACAAAAAATATGTTTATATACAATTGAAATAATTCAAAAAGTTTAAAGACTTCATTACAAAAGAAAATTTCTCAATACTAACCTGTTATAGAATAAATTTGCAGAGAAATCAACAATAATTACAATCTACAATTTAAAATAATTTTAAAAATTAATTTTAATCATCTATAAATGTATACATATAATACCGGTTTACAAACTGACCTGTTCAAGATTTATTTCCACCCACACTGCACAGTACCATGAGGATTAAATTATAAACAGGACTAAATTAATATAATTTAAGTCCCATTACAAACATTTTAATTATATATCACCAGTTTAAAAAACACTCACATACAATATCTAAAATGAAAGTCTGTTGATAATCCCTTATCTAATGGTTGTGATTACAATTCACATTACAGTACCGTGCGATTATTATTACCCTTCCCCCTATTGGGTAAAAACGACAACTAGGATTTACATATTACTCTTCCTTCAGTATTATTTATTCTATATTTTTCAACATTCTTAAATGCTCAGAAAAAGATTTGAAAAAGATTGGGAACTGCTAAACTACAATGTGAGATATATTACTACTATATTTATCTTCAGATTTTAAGTATATCAATGTTTGATTCAAAATAATGTAACGAATAATAAAAAATATAAATGATACATTTTTGAATTATTCTACCAAGATTGATCCACAAATGGTTAATTTGGCATTTGCAAAAAAGACAGATTTTATAACAGTTAAATTTAGATATTATTTATTGACTTACTGCTACTTTTATTTTATTGCAATTTATATTCATTAATTTCATACCCTTTTTTGTTATTTTAAATTTATATTTATTTCACATTACGCGACTTCATCGCTCGTGGCAGTTCTCTAGAATCTGTATTCGAAACTTCTAGTTTAGTTGGAAACATTAACTAAATCTTTAAAATCCTTGCTAAATTTTAAGGATTTAGATTATCATTATTTATTATATATCACATTTAGTTAAGTATGTTTCACTAGTAATAGTGTAAATTGATCTATTTCTTAATCATTTTTACATTTCAATAAAAAGTTATCTGTTAGAATAAAAAAATTTCTGCTACCAATAAATTTATGATAATTAATACATTAATCTTTTCTTCACATACTTTACATAATAATTTTATAAAATATTAAATTAACACGTTAGAATTTTAAATGGAATTTCTTATACTCATCAAAATATTTTTTTCGTGATGTTGATTTTAATTAATTTAAGTGTATGATGTAAAGTTGCTTGTGAAAAGCCAGACTTTTCTGACTTCTTTTAATGTACTTATTTCAGTGGATTATTATTTTTATCATGCTCCACTGTAGTGGTGAAGTGCTTATGTTAGGACTTCTGTGTGTCTGTTAGATGTGCGCGCACTTGCTCGGATCAATCCATTTATTGTGCATGTTCACGCACATGCACAAAAGGGAACTGAACATTTTCATTTATGGTCACTAAACTGTAGTAAAAACTACATGATTCCTCTGGAATCTATAAACCACATCCCCTACTGTATATTTAGTGAAAATTCTGAACTACTACTTGGTTCCAAGAATTTATAAAATTTATTTTAACCACTCTGCAGTGGTCAATGGATATATCCATCAAGGGTGATCACGTGGGACTGGAGAATGACATCGATATCTGCAAAAAAAATTCACATAAAAAGGAATTATGTGACAATAAAGAAAGATTTTTTCTTTACTAGATGTAACTGTTTAAAAATTTTTTCCGAAACGGAAACGAGAAAAATGCGTGGGAAAATTCTTAAGAAATTTTCCATGTTTATTTTCCACTACATTATGATAGCACCATATTTGACTAACCCTCTCTACAAAGATTAAACAAAATTAATTTTTGTGGAGCATGCTATCAGATCGGCTTGACCAAATTTGTTTAGTTATCTTTAACCACCAAATGGAATGGGTCTTCAAGTACCAGTTTGCCATGCTCATAACATGTCGTGTTTACGTGTCCAGATATGCCAGTTTTGCATATCTTGCTCTTTGTTTATTCAAGTTGCAGTGAATGGATCCAAAGATTTATTACACTGCAATATTAATTACTTTAAAATTATGAAATAAAATAAAATACACACATTGATAAATTTTTCAGTTTTTTGACATTGAACTTGAGCATATCAATCACTGAATAATAAAATGGAAAATTGTATTATTTTATATATTGAATTATAATTATTTAATAAAATTAAATGTGTGTTTTTATTTTCAGCTGTTGAAGGTGTACATCTTGACATTCAAGGAATATCACCTTACAGTGGAGATACTTTTCATGAAGTTAGTTAAGTTTGATTTTTATATACTTTGATTTTGTTACCATGTTTTACTTTTATAGGGAAAGCTATAAATTATTTATCTATGTATATAAAAATGAATGTATGTGTGTGTGTCTGTCTGTCTGTCCATCATGCATTATTACACCATTTATCCGATTGCCATGAAACTTTGGGAAGTTGTTTAATATACTCCCACGAAGGTTTCTGGCATAGTACGATTGCCATGAAACTTTGGGAAGTTTTTTAATACACTCCCGCGAAGGTTTGTGGCATAGTACATTTATCCTACAATAGATGACGTGCGTGTATACGAGCATTTCACTGTGTGTTTGATCAATTTCAAATTGTGAAGACCATTTACCCCCTCCAAAAAATAGCTTTATATATGCATTTGTTATTTACGGTATTTGTAATAATTTTTATTTAATCACTTTATTTCAACTTTTTTTTGCTAATTACATATTCACTTGAACTGATTAAAACCTTAACTGTATCCCAAACAACAACCGAAGTTGTATGAGGAAATTCGCCTATTTTACCGATCTAGGGAACCCCTTTTCCAAATTTTAATATCAACTCAAAATAATTTAAAAAGACAAATTACAATAAAACGGTTTATTATCCAACTATCAGAAATTTCACATGCCAAGGAAGAGAGGAAGGAGCAATTAAATAATTAAAATTGTAAAGGATTAAAAAAAATATATATAAAAATGGGGAATGTCACACTTCTGACAATCGCTTCAAGTGTGTGGGCTAGATTTGGAGAATCCATGCTTTTCACATAGATAATTGTATGTGGCCAGCTCGCGTCGGAAAACCTTCTGATTTATTCATGTACGCACCAGACAGAAAAACAAAAAATATCGTGTATCCACAAGCACTCCAATAAATAAATAGAATTGAAACGACACTTTGAAATGTTTTCTCAATGAAAATGAATAATAATAATAAGTTTCAATAAAAATGATAAAATGTAAATTGAATTTTATCATAACGAGTTTGCTTGAATTTCCTTTTTTTTTTTAGATCACAGCAATGCGCGACGGGTAAGCTAGTCATCAATAATTGTGATAAAGAAATATACTGTGTATTGTTTTTTTTTCTGTACTAATAAGAAGAGTTTTGAATTTTAGGTACTTTGTACATATGAAAAAATTGCAATTATACAAAATTTGAATTTTGTTGTCCAGAGGTAGATCTCTGGCCTCTGTCAGAGTTAGAAAGACATTGCAGGAGTGCCAAGTTGTCAAAGAAACCCCTTTTAAGTGGTTGTTTGAATAAGAAAAAAATAATTTTCCATTTTTCATTTAGGACAGAAATTTTTTGCCAGTTAAATTAGGAATCCATTAAATTGAGGGCATTTAGTAGTAGCTGTATATTTTATAACACAGAATTGAAATTTCTAGTGACACTTTTTTTACAGGATTATTCTAGATTGCAACAATTGGAATATAAATTGTCTGTAAGAAATATATAAATTAAACAAAATGCTGAAGAAAAGGACATTTTTAAACTTTCGCTTTGGGCCAGGAAATACATGGACCCGACTCCTTTAACATGTTTCTGAGAATAGTTCAGAAATTGATCTGAAAATGTTAGGCATTTTAACTGAAATTTTCTAGAAAGTTGATGACTTGATTTTAAAATTATTTTAAGTAATTAAAATATTTTACTTTTCATGATTTTTATTAGTATAAGAAATGTTAGAATACTCAACTTAAATAATTATTTCAGTTTTTAATGATTGTTTAGAATTGTCAAAATAATTAGTAATTTTGAAAATAAAAGATCTGCCTGTATTGTCTGTGTAGATGGATTGGTTTTTCTTGACAAAAGATGGTTGTCAAGCTTTTGCTTCCATGGGACCTTTATTGCTTGATTACTTTCCAGTTTTTTTCCATATTCTTTCTGTTGTTTTGCCTGGCTTAAGAATTATTTTTGGTTTTGTACTTTTAAAATTAAACTCACTAATTTTGTTTTTAATGATTTTTCTGCATTGTGTCGATTATCTTGAGGTTCTGTTTTGAGTTACCTGGTTTTTATTGCTAGCTTGGATTTTGTTGTTTCTAATAGTTGTTCTAATATGGTTGCTTATGTTGATGATCTTAAGCCAATAAATTCTTATTCTTTTGAATTACAATATGATTTAAATAAAATTGTTGATCAATTAGAATTATATAATCTTAGTATCAATATAAATAAAACTGTAGAAATGCGTTATTTCCTTTTATGAAATTGCATCAATATACTTTTCCATTGGTAAATATGTATTAATTTTGACCATTCATACCATTAATGATTTAGGTGTCATTTTTGATAAAAAGTTAATAATATTTAATAATGTGATAATTAATAATATCACATTGACTGACTTTCTAAAAAATTGGCAGTATGCAGATATCCTTTGGCAGCATTGTTGCCTTATTACGTTCCATTCTGCCCCGAGAGCCCTTTTTTTGTGAATTTTCAATCCATTATTGATTGTTGTTTGCCGATTGAGTTTACTACCTCATCTTCATTACTTTGTAAAATCTTATCTGAAGTAAGTAAGGTATATTTATTTTTTAATAAACTGTCTAATTTACCATTGACTGATTCTGGAAAGGTTGCTAGGACTAGATTGGGTTTTCCTAAATTTACTCATCATAGTGCTTATTTTGATACACTGCTATTTTATAAATATTTAAATGTTTTTTTTAGAATTTTGCTGCTTTTTTTCCTATTCGTTTTCTGATAGATAGGCTAACAAATTTTTTCTATTCTTACTATAAATAAGTTTTGGTAAAATTTTGACAAATATAACTAGTATGTTACTGAATTTGATGTAAAAAATATTGAAAACATATTTAAATGTTTTTTTAAATTCCAAGCCTTTTTTTATTTTAAGCATATTAAATTGGCACTTAAAAAGAATCTTTATAATTAACACTGATGTTTAGTTTTACTGATTGTTTTGTTTATATTCTGTCATGTGTATTTTGTGGATATTTTGTTTTTTTGGTTGTTATATTTTATTGTTGTACTAACTGTTACCAGCGACTTCGCCCACGCAGATTTTGCAAGCAAACACCATTTATATTCAGTATTTCAACAACCATAGTAGTTGTTATATAACACCTACCACTGAGAATGATGAGAATTACTGAGAATCAAACAAACTGTTTTCAATTTGATCAATTTTCTGGAATGTTTACAATCATTCTATAATTGAACCAATACGCAATAACAAATTCGAATTTAAAACAGTTCAAAAATTTGGTTAAAAAATCAAAATATATAAAAATATTTATAACAGTATCTGAAATGTTATCAATTTAATACACCTAAGTATTCAATGAAGACTAAACGTAGTTGAAAACAAAAAATTGAATCTAAAATAATACAGTAGAAGCCATTCTTCATGTTAAGCCTTAATCCTCTCCCTCTCCCACTGTGGGAGGGGATTTCGAAAAATCCCTGTTAGTGTGCATTCTCATGGCAAACTTAACTGTGTACAAAATTTCACCTCTTTAGGTTCAGTGGTTGCTCTGGGCGATGATGAATCAATCAGTAAGTCAGTCAGGACAAGTAATTTTATATATTTAGATATGGGGCTATCGTTCCTTGCCTTTTTTGGTATTATCACATATATTTGTAAGTAAAATAAATAATAATTAAATATTTAGCATAATTAATTTATAATATTTTGAAAATCTAAATATGTTTATTCTAAATTTTTGTTGATTTATGACATTAAAAGGGTCAATATTAATGATTTTTGATGATGGATAGATAGAAAGGTATATAGAAAAAGTAAATTTATTCCTTTTACTTCTGGAATATAAAATTTTTCACACTAAAAGTATGTGTGTTATATTCACAAAGCATCCTACTTTGTTGGAGTATGAAACCAATGCTGTGCATTTTCCTGAACTGTTTTGACTGAGTAAGTCTCTTTGATTTCTTACTCCAGTTAAAATAGATTGTTTTGTGAAGTTTTTGCTCTATCTAGCCATGAAATATCATCTTGTGTCAATTAATGTTATTTCAACATTTTGAAATGATAGCAATTAACTTATTTTTATAAGAAACAAAATACATAATTGGTTGTAATTTAAAATGTAAATGATAGCTTCATGAATGGGTTTAACAAATTGAAAAAATATAAATAAAAATTAATTTTTTAAAACTTAAGAAATATTAAATATCTTATTTTATTTTTTGGTTATGTTTTATTAATTCTTTTAAAAATATTATTTCTATTTACAGTCACCTTTAGCACTGATGCTTTACAAATTGATGATACAATACATTGGTGAATATGTTCCACTATTATTTGTGGTATTTATTTATTTTTTAATATTTAAATGCATGATATAAATAAAAATGTACAATTTATTATGATACAAAATAATTTTTGATTCTTTAATTTTTCTGCTATTTAGTACAATTTACTTTAGTTTTTATTGAAAATTCTGTTTTCTTTATAACAGTATTTTCTATTTGAAACATTTATAAATTTTTTCTATAAAATAGTTCAAAATTTAGAACTTGCTTGTATTTCTAGTTTTATTTTTTTAAAACTTTTCTTGTATAAAAGTGAATATGCCAATTTTAGAAGTGATTATTATTATTAGAAGATTCCTATTTATGTTTATGTAAAACTAATAAATTGAATAGAAACTGTAAATCCACTTCCACAAATACTGTATACAAATAATAACTGCTTAAATGGAACACAAATAAAACAAATTTGTTTAAGGATGCTTTTGAGTTACAAACTTATGAGTTGGTAGCAACTCACTACTCTCACTATTACTCATTATTTTTCAGATTGCTTGCTATTCACTACTATTTTCAAAAAACTCACTTTTTTCACTAATTTTTAGACCTGGGTATATGTTACAGTTAGGGTTTTACCATTAACTTTAATTTTGATGTATTAAAGATAATTCATCCTCTCTCACAGCACTTAATAAGATGAAAAATATACATATCAGCACATCTTTTGTAAACAAAACTTTATTCATTTATCTTACATACATCAAAAAGCTGTTGTGAACTTCACAGACTGCACCAGAAAAAATAGAATTTTTTTTCTTTTTAAACACGTGCCAAATTTTGCTCTCCTCTCACGAGCATTTATAGTTGAGGATTTTGCTGAACAAGGAGATCTAACAGTTACATGCCATATGTCCTATTTTGGATAAAATTATGACATTAATTATGACATGTTTATGAGTTTTGTGACAAAATAGATTGGATAATCGTTAATCACTTATCCACTTTGCGAGAGTTGATCATGGCATCACCTACTGGTTAGACAATTCATGATGACTTGAGCAAAAGAAGGACTATAGGGACTAGCAATTTTCCACAGAGTCATCTTGGAGAGGCAGCAGAGTCACTTAAAGTAACAAATTTGGAAATGAGGCAAGAACATTGTCAAACTTGCATTATTAGGTCAAATTTTTATTAAAATTTCAAACTACAAAAATAGTGCCAAGATAGTTCAATGGATAATGTATTTTGGATGAATAATCTAAAACAACATAATCTGTGCAGGTTAATATCCATAAATAATTATAATTAATTAATTAACATCAAAATGCAATACCAGCAGCTGATGCTTTGATTTGGAAAAAATTGACCCTGACTTTAATGTTGTCTTTGAAGAAAGTTTTCTACTATGTAGTTAGTCATGTTGATTGGCATGCTTAGTTTCAAATGCTAGCAATACAGCAATTATGCTGAACTCTACTGGCTGAGATGTGGGTCAGTAAAAATTCTCAGTGGCAGCAGAACATGTTTAATAGTAGTCAACAATTGGGTGGATAATGGTGACCTACATCCAAAAATATTGTAACTAAATGGTTTACCAACCAATAAAATTGCCAGATTGGACAACTTTTGATTGACTTACACTATTGAATTTTCATTTTAAGATATTTGCTAGTCTTTTAACTACATACAGGTAACCCCCGTATAACACGGCACTTCTATAGCACGGATTCACTCTAACACGGTTCGAGAATTGGTACCATCCCCTGTATAACACGGCACTTCTATAGCACGGATTCACTCTAACACGGTTCGAGAATTGGGAACATCCCCCATATAACATGGTGCTTTTATAGCACGGGTTCACTGTAACACGGGTCGGTAATTGGGTAAAACCCTCATACAACATAAAATGTAATAAAGGGTGCGTTCTTTTATACCTCCGCATAACTCCGCGCAAGCATTCTAATTGTTTTCGTGGCTACTTTGCTCTTTCAACAAATAATCCATTTAATGGTTAAATTATACAATTGGGGGTCCTTTTTTGCCTCCAAAAGTTCATTTTAGAATTCTAGATTCCTCCACACGATACTATTGATAGTGCAGGTGCCGCCATCTTTCTTTCACTGTCGTTCCTAAATGCCTACAAACAGCAGCTCACTTCCGTTGCAGAGTGACCTCTATTAACGAACGCACTCACAAACTGTTACCAGTTGATGATGCTCATGCTGAGATCATCATATAGGATGAATAATCCTCTGGTAAAATATTTACTTAAATAATAAATAAGTATTGATGCAAAAAATGAATAATAAATCTGATTTAAATAAGGATTTAACATGTTTTTTAATTTTTGGAACCTAACCCCCCTTTTCTCACTAGTTCTTTGTTTCATATAACAAGGCAATTTTCTGGAACGTAACTCCCGAACGGGGGTTACCTGTACCTTACAGATAGTGAATATAACATAACATACATGATATGAGTCAGATGTGACTTTACAATAATAGTTGTTAAAAAGTTGCTTGGCAATATATATTTATTGCAATTTTTCATCTACTGAACACATTAAATTACAATTCAAGTATAGTAGACTCTTGCTAATCTGGCCATTCCATTCACAGAGAAATGCCAGATTACTGAGAGATAAAAGACAGTTTAATTTTTATTAAATGTAATGTTGTGTGTTTACTGACTGTAGTACGCATGTATTTAAAAAAACAGATAAGAGACAGGTATTTATATACAGTAAAAGAAATTTAAAATGTAATACAGCACAAGTGAAATGTTGCAACTTCTACTCAGTGTAGTCACTTTGAAAAATGTCATGGATATTTATTTGCTTTAATGAAGATGCTTGTCGATGGCACACTTTAACACATAATCACTTTATGAACATTACATTGGTTCTGCATGTATCTGGTTATTGTATTATGTACTGCAGGAAAATGTCAACAGCTTCAGCCACAGCAGTGTGAAAAATCTTTTTTCGCTTTGCCTCTTCTTCCTCATTACTTTCATTTTGCAACATTTTTCATGATTTCTATTTGTTAAAGTCTGGTCTACTATACATAGTGTGGCTAGAAAATAACGAGACTGTGAAAGCCTACACACAACAGTTGCACGTGAGCTGAAATGAGTGGATGAGTAAATGACCTTGAACAAGTTAGAATAAGTGCACTGAGTCTCAACTTGCTACTGCTATTACATTGCTGTGAGTGGACATGTTGTTAGCACATGTTGGAAAAATGGCCAGCTTGAAAGAGGAGCAGCGTATCAACCCTGAAATTTTTGGTGAAATTGAAAAAAACTGCCACTGAATCTATGCCACTGCTACATGAAGCATACAGAGACGTATGTCTTTGTCATGCACATGTGTTTGAATGGCACAGGAGATTTTCTGAGAGCCAAGAGGATGTGAAAGACAATGAATGTTCTGGATGGTCCAGCATGTCAAAAACCGAGGAAAACACAAAAAGTGGAATAAATTGTGAACCAATACTACTACAAAGAAGTTCTGGAATTTTTGCAGGAAAGGATCAGAAGAAAGTGGTTGTGGAAGAAAGTGACACTTGTGGCAAAATGGTTTCATTCTCCATCAGACAATGCACCTGCCCTGGACACAGCATCTGGAAATGATTCTGAATTGACTGACTCACTATTGTTTGATGCAGAATCCAACTCAGTGTCAATTGAAGGCCATGCTTTTTTTTCCAACACTTCACTATTATAGTATTCTCCACAATGTCTCATGTTTCTGCTGTTTGAAAAGCACCATCAGCATAGCTTTGGTAGAATCGTTTTCACATTCATCCAATGGGGAGGTAAGAATTGCACGATGATAGTGGCACTTAATTGATTCCAAAACTTCCTAATCCATAGGTTGGATTACAACTGTTGCATTTGGTGGGAGAAAGATAGCTCTTATAACCTGATTTCAGAGCCTAGTCGTGAGCATTAGTGAGGAGGATGACTTTTAATGGAAGTTTTGTTTTCTTCAGTTCTTCCTTTGCAGCTGATATGAGTTTATCTATGGAACCACAGAGAGAAAATTTCTGAGCCCATCCTTTTTTTATTAGCATGATAGTGTACTCAACTTACTATGCTGAAAACATTATGGCCATTGGGCTTTTCCAATCACCAGGAAATTTGACTCCCATTGGCATTAAAACACACCATCAGTGGTATGCATTGTTTTTGTTGTTTATATCCACAAACTTCCTTTTTGTTCTTGGCAGCAAGGGTTTTCGAAGGAAGCATTTTGAAAATGAGACCAGTCTCATTGGAATTGTATACTGCTGCAGGAGTTGGTTTTTCTTCCTTTATCATATTTTTCAGCTTATTTCTAAACTCTTCTGTATCTTTTTTATCATTTGCTGACTGACTATCAGCTGCCTGGTGACTATCAGCTGCCACACACCATGTCTTTTTTTTCTAGTTTGATGGCCAGCCCTTGCTTATTATTTACTGCTACTAAGTTCTTTGTTAAACACCACTATCCACTGCTTTTTCTGTGATTATTGGGCCACTGACAGCTAATCCTTTACTGCATTTCTGTATATACCATTTGTAAACATCAGCATCTAGTTTATCATTTCCACTTTTTTCATAACTTTTTGTTTTCCCAATGTAATGTCCATTTAGCTGGCTACTATCAAGTTGATTCTCTTTTATCTTTGTCATAAACAATGGCATGTCCAAAGTTGTACTCAGTAGCAATGAATTTTTGGGAACAATCTTGCTTTAACTTCTCTAATACTTCCAGTTTCTGCATAAGTTCTAACATAACATGTTCTCTCTTTGAAGCCATAATCAAAGGTCACCACTCCAAGTTGATTAATTTCCACACTTCTAAATCTGAAACCTATCATATGTGTGAAGTTTCAGTTTTGATAAGTGGCATCACACTGGATGGCCATCCACCTGACACATTCCATTTATATCACAGCCAAAGGCTGAGTTAGTAAGAGTCTAATGTATTTATTTACGAATAAAATTTCTTACAGAGGCCAGTATACATTAGTTCAATTGTGTTTGATTTGATATATTTATTTATTTAGTATTTGTGATTTATTTTTTGTTTATGTAATAAGGATTGTTATATATTATTTTTATGCCATTTATTGCTTAAAAGTTAATAATAAAAAAAAGTATTTATTTAAGCTGGGTAATCGTGCAAGTGATTTTGTTGTGTTACATCAGGCATATAATTGATTGACTTCTGCACAAATTGAATCACTGGTGTCCACTGCATTGTTCTTATGCTGTCTAGCTGAGAAAGAAAGGAGAAAAAATCAGATGGATGACAATGATGCAATTATTCTTAGTGACTATGTTTTGCCTAACTTTATGGTTTTTGTGAAAAAGAAAGCAAAATATTGATGTATTAGTATTCTTACAATTTTTATCTTTTTAGTTTCTGTTCTGTTTATCAAAAATTTCAAGAAAATTATAAACTATCATTATTAATTTTTTAATTGCTGCATTTGTCAGTCAAACCATTTTGTAGAACATGATGTCAACCATGTAAAGCATGCTTATTGCCAATTGGCCACGTTTGATTTGCATGACAGAAAAATACATCTTGCTCAAATGTCCAAATCTCAAAATTACATACAAATTAGATGCCCGTTTATTTAGATATCTGGTATGCAGTGCTGAAAGCATTCAAAGCGCATGGAAAAATCACTCGTGCGAATATCCAGCTTTAAAAATAACATTTTTTATTACTAATATTATTTTCAAATTTTTTAGATTAGTGATGTAATAACAACTGTATTTTTAATGTTAGGAAGCAAAAAGTATCTTCTTCATTTGGTAAGTGATATGTTTTAAATATAATTAAAAGAAATGTGTAAAATTTTTGTTTTTGTGATGTACAGTCAAACCTGTCTGAATCAGAGTCAGGCTGGTTCTTGGGGACCTTCGGTATGTTAATCTGGTGCCAGTATTGGTTGCAATTTCTTTATATAAAACTTATACGAGGGCTGGCATGTGCCTATTTCAGACCACATGATACACAGGATACACCCATTACTCAAAAGGCTAGCAATGAAGACCATAGTCAAGACCCAGCCAGCAAATGCACCATTGTTGAATACAACCAACGATTTCAAGCTTTATATAAAAAATGGAATACGTCTGTCCTCTTTGGGATCTTCTGGCGTACTCTCCGAATGATTCCAAATTCTTTCTGTTTCTCATGAGTTTTTACCAATCAGCATCTTGTATTTTTCCACGTGTTTAGGAATGAGTGGAGGTTTACAGAGAGGTTGACTGTTCCCAGGGTGACTAAAATTTTAGGAGATAAGGGAAAACAAAAAGGATGTCGAACTTACATAGAGAAGGAAGTGACTTTTACCAGTTTCCTTTATTTTTAACTTAAAATTCTTTCATTTAAAATCAGAAATATTACTTCCAAAAATTTATGTTTTTGACACCAAATTAATTAGGGTGTGTGTCCAAAATCTCACATGGTAATAAATATCTTTTAGTATTTATAGATCATTATTCTAGATGGGCAGAAGCCATTCCATTGCCAGATATCACTGAAAAGACAGTCTCTAAGGCATTTGTTATGCAAATAATAATATGACATTCAGTGCCAAAACAGCTGCTTACTGATAGAGGTATGAATTTTGTTTCAAAATTAATGAAGGAAATATGCGAATTACTCTGCATAAAAAGTAAATACCACCCCAAATATAACAGAGTAGTTGAAAGGTTGAACAAAACATTAATAGACATTTTAGCCCATTAGATCAACAAAGACCAACATAATTGGGATGAAATAATATTTTATGCACTTTTTGCATACGGCATAGCAGAGCACAGTAGTACAGGTGAGGTCTCTTTCTTTTTATTGTATCAGAGAGACCTTTTATATTCATTTGATATCATTACGGAACCCAACAGACCACGTTATGATGTGGCTAAAACTATGCAAGCAAACTTCAATTATGATTGGCGTTGGCACACAAATTGGCATGAGAACATGCAGAGAAAGCTGTTAATGATAGAAGAACTTACCATATGTGCAAAAATAAACCTTAAAAATTTTTTATAGGTGATCAAATATTTGTGAATGAAGTAGTCATTATGCCAGGCTTAAAAAGGAACTAACTAGTTCCAAACTGGTCAGGACCATATCGAATTGTGGCAGAAACAATCTTTGTAAATTTTCATTTGTTGTGAAACCATGTTGTACTAGATTTTCTTTAGAAGTGTTGAACACGAGATTGTGTTATTAACCAATCACATGGCTTCTTTTCCACCTTTATTTAGTTAAATCTTTGTAAACTTTGAGGTCTGACACATACACACCAGAAAAAGATTGCATATGCATGTTAATTGAGTAAAACCTTCAATTGTATGATTAGAATTTATTAATCCTACTCAGGAAAAAGCTGATACAGAAGAGGGAGACTTCAATGAATGACAAATGCCTACTGAACAGTTTTTTCTTGAATTGATAGACTCCTCGATGAGATTATCCTAACTTCGATTCAGCCAGAACAGATAATCAAGACCTCAGAATTACTTTAAATGCTATTTTGTTATGGAATAAGATTATCAGTATTGAATATACTGTGTACTGATTAGTAATGTTTTTGATTAAGAGTTTTTTTTCAAATAGTTGTTTTCTCTCACTTTATTATTGTGAGGGTTGCCGTGTGATGTCCAGGCACCTCTATTTAGGTGTTTATTCTGACACCAAGTATCATGCCTACTACATGAGTTTTTCAGTGTTTTGTGAATGGCAGTAATGCAGTCTCATATGTGAGACTAGGGATAAGAGGATGAAATAGAAGATGACAAGATTCAGTTGGAAGGAGTTGCTCAGTGCAGGTAGCTACACTTAAACGTTTATTGGACGGCACAAAAGTTTGTATATTATGTCATATAGTTAACTAAGTCATGTTATCATCGCAGAGAGAGAGAGAGAGAGTTTACAAACTTTTAGTACTTTAAGAATTCTGACAAATAATATCCCGTGATATTCTGGGGATAGTTCTTAATACGTGGATCTTCAAAGTTGAATGATGTATAGGGTGTTGCATAGCCCTCAAGCATAAATATATATGAAGTATGCAATTGTAAATCCCAGTGTCTGGATAAGAAGGCACATAAACATAAACACTAATCTGAATGGTTGGGGAACAGGCTATAACTGACCAGAACCGTTTATTTTTTGATATATTAAAGCTGCAAAATACGTTGGAGGTGTCAAAAAGTTGCAGGAAGAAGTTGAAACTCTCTCAGGTCAGAAAGTTGACATACACTAGCTGCTGATGATGTCATCCTTGAGTTGTTTCCTTTTTTTCTTGTTTGATTCTCACATTATGAATGATTTCATTTCAGAATATTATAGAAATGATAAATTTTGCAATTCCAACAGCTAAATGGTAAAGGCGTCAGCTTGTCACAAGAGTCCCAGTATGAGTCATCGGAAATTTTCAAGGGCGATTTGACCCGGATTTGTTGGATTTGTCCTTTGGCACTATGTTGCTCCACTGCAAACACAAAAGAAAATTTTTAGTGCCAGTAGGGCAGAAAGAATTCTTATGTAAAAATTTTGTAATTTAAATAAATATGAGATTATTATTTTGGAAACTGTTAATGTGAAATTTTGTGTTTTTTTTAATGATAAAATAATTTATATTTTCAAAACTTAATAAAATTGTCATTAAAATTTTTATCATTTTTCCAGGTAAAGTCTGAAGGTGGGAAAAATAATCAGTATCCAGCAAGTGTTTCTTCATTATTAGTATCTGCAGGGAAAATGCACAAAATTCCATATTATGTTGCTGTTGTGTAAGTGTAAAAATTCATTTATTTTAGATTCTAATTGTAATTTAGATTGTAATTTTCAAGCAATTTGGATAATTATAGTGAAATCTCACTAAGTTGGACACCTGGGGTGAAGATCCAAAGTGTCCAAGTTAGTGGATATCTAGATTAGAGAGGTGAGCATTCTTGCATACATGTACACAGTTACATGCATACCACATTTACTGCACCTGTGTTTTGATAAACATAATGAAAAAAGTATCAGTTTTTAATGTTATCACAAAATTTAATGACTGNCTAGTCTGAATGATCTTGAGTCTTCCATCTTTTCACAGACGGTGTGTCTCATTCATGTCGACTCCTATTTCTTGTCGCCCAGCTGCCACATTGTATCCAAAGTGTCCAAGTTAGTGGATATCTAGATTAGAGAGGTGAGCATTCTTGCATACATGTACACAGTTACATGCATACCACATTTACTGCACCTGTGTTTTGATAAACATAATGAAAAAAGTATCAGTTTTTAATGTTATCACAAAATTTAATGACTGAAAATGCATGTTAATATGATACTGTACATGTTACATAATTTAATAAAACATCATTAAATCAGCTTGTAAGGTATGAGTTGTAATGTCTTGTCTACACATGCATAATATTAATTATGCCAATATGTCTTTCCATAGAAACATATAGATATGCTGTTTATTTAAGATCAAATTAGCATCTGGAAAAAACAATCTAATTTGATTTTGTAATCATTCGAGGCATACTTGAACACATTCATTTGTACAGTAAACACATAGTATTTAATTTTTGTCAAAGAAATCTGTTACATAGGATTGACAAAGATATGTCAGTCTGGGACTTTCTCAGTTCTTTTTATATTTTTCTTCTAATCTCAAACACCTTCATAACATCAGATTGACAATGTGCAAATATATAACATTCAAGTTCTGTAATATGTATGAAAAATTTTGATCGTTGTCTAAATTGTCACAAATTTTTACTTGGCATAATTTTTTATGTCTCAGATGTTTTTGTTTGGATAAATATAAATCAAAATTCAGAACTGTGTATTAGTTTTAAAAAATTTTAAAACTTTTCAAGTTGTTGCTTTTAGTATATTTCTGAAAGTGATAAAAACAAATTTGTCTGTTGAACACCTCAGGACTTATAGTAATTTAGCAACCCTGCAGGTAAATCAGTTGATCTCTTGAGGTTTGCTTAGCAAATCTGTCCTAAATTTTCAGGCTAGACAAAAGAAACAGCTGGTGCAATCTGACAAAATACTTAGAATTAGTCAAAATGTCATTGACTGTAAAAATTACTCATATATTGTTAGTTAGTGACAGAAAGTAAGACAATAGAAATGTGTGTATGTGATAGTTAACTAGCAAGTGGCACATTTTTGGGAATAGGTTGAGACACATTTTATTAAACCAGTTTTTATAGTTTCTTTTCTTTTCTTCATTCATTGGATACACAGTTTAGTGTCTTTTGGCATGTTTTTTAAATATAAAACACTTACATTGGAGGAGAAGCAATTCTAGATATATTTTTTTTTTACTGTCTCTATTTCTATGCGAATTAAAATATAACCTTCTATAAAACAGAAATCTGCCAAAATGGAAAATTTCGGCCATATTGTCACATTCCATTTTATGGTAATTGAAAGTTTACAAATCTTTTCTGTATAATAGTAAAAGTTATTTTGAGCAGTATGAAATTTGTGTAGATGGATGAATAGAAAAATTTTTACATTTGTACTATAAGTTAATTTTGAAAATTTAGTTATAAATGGAAAGCAAACATTGTAGATAGATGAAAAAATAGTTTTTATTTTTTATTTATTTTTATTTTTATTATTACAATTGGAAACGTTAGAAAACAATTGTATTCCACCCCCCAGATAACAAGAAATAAAAGATTCCCAATAAAATAATAACAAATTATAAAAGACATTTGTTTGACAAAGTTTGGCTTTCATATTGAATAGTAATATTTGAATTTTAAGTATTTAATTTTCTGTGCATTGAAATGTTATATTGTTAATTGAAAAATTATTGATTTTTGTAGATTTTATTATATTTTTTATTCTTGTCTGTCTTAGATATCTGATTTCTCCGTACACTGTGGCAGCTTCCGTCGGAAAATCTACGACGGTGTTTGTCAATTTGTTAATATCTGCTGTGTTTTATTTCACTAGCGCCGGTAAGTATATCTGTTAAAAAATTATAAAATTTTCTTCAAATGATCACTTTTAAATATTATTGTAGGTAAATTGTACTTGGCGACCATAGTTCTTGCAGTTGCATCATATCATTCTTTTTATCCAGTGATGCTGATTGTTCCGATGTCAATGTATATAGTTCAGGTAACTTAAAATCCATAAAAGTGTGTTATAAATAATTAGCATTTGGAAAGAGTTTCATGGGTTACATTTCTCATTTATGTTTCTTGCCGGAGACAGAGAATGAATGTTTCAAGAAGGTAGTTTGAAATTTTATTTTGATGCTTGTTTATAGTTTGGTGAAATAGTTTGTTTGCCTGTTTATTAATAAATATGTTAAAATTGATGCACTTTGATGACACGACATGTTTCAGATGCATCAAAATTAAACTTTTATGAAAAGATTCCAGTTTGCATTATAATATGGTATGCAATTTAATCGATGCATTTCAGAATACAGTTTGTCAGCAGTTACAGCAAGTAGCAAAAACATGATATGAAAATTTCAGGGATACGGATAATGAAACAAAGTTTTTTTTTTAAATAAAGCTTTGTTCTATTATCTGTATCCCTGATGTTTGCATCAATGCAAATGAAAGTACTTGGAGTAATCTGTATTTTGCATTCTTCTGTGTTTTAACACCCAATTTAAATTTTCATATCTTGTTTTTAATGATTGTGGTATGCTCTTTCACCAATTTTCAAAAATTAGAAGTAGTAGATGTAGTTATTTATTAGAGAAGAGATTTTTTGGACATTTTTGACAAAACATTGCAAAACCTGTCTAAATTAGTATGGAAATTGATGCAGGCAACTAACATTAGGATTAGATACTGGGCAAAAAAGTGTGATTTGAATTAAAGTTATTTCTATAGAAGGCGTTTTGTGTGCAAATGTAGGAAACTGTTTATAAAACAGTGTGCGCTTTATTGTGAATGATTCCAAACTATCATCAAACATGACAGTTTTTTTTTCCTTATGGAAACTGTTGTACTAGACAAAACATTTTATACAGATAAAAACGAATTCCGTCTACCAGGCTATGTAATCTCCCAAAACAGTTGTATGATGGCCAGACAGTCATGGCAGTTATGGCGTTGGTTTGCCACTCTGGAAGACCCAAGATTGCCTCTCCTGGATTCCATCCACAAAAAGACTAGTCTGAATGATCTTGAGTCTTCCATCTTTTCACAGACGGTGTGTCTCATTCATGTCGACTCCTATTTCTTGTCGCCCAGCTGCCACATTGTAAACCCAGTTGAACCTACAATCGAACTAAGAATTAATTATAGTAAAAAGGTTTTCTTAGTTCTCAAGGGATGGAAAGAGTCAAAAATGAAAAAATTATCATTTATAGTCATCAAAAACTTTTCACATTATTCTTGATATGCTATCAGAAAATTAGCATTTAACTTGGAATATTAAGTGTGGAAATTGAACATAACATCTTTAGAGCATTATAAATGCCATTTTGGAATTCTTTATTGTTTATTGTATAACTCAACAAAAGTGGAATACCAATTGTATTCTTTTAGCAAGGTGGTGCCAGAGAACACACTGCTTACCTTATAGTGACATTACTACAAAAAGTGGGAATCCCATAATTTTGAGTTTTTGTCCTTCAAAAATCCTAAATCATATACTACTGACCATTTTGTGAGAAGTGATGAAAGTTACACTTAATGGAAGTTGAAAATAAAGTAGCTGACGTCTGGCAGTCATCTTGGGAATCTTACAAACAGGATAAAGTCATGCTACTTTTATGTTTAAATCTCATGTAAACATGCCATTGGCAAAAACAAAATTGAAATCTCATCAACATTGTTCAGTTTTTAGTTGTAATAATTATAGAAATGAAAATAATACAATTCATATGTTTCCAATAGATTCAAATTTTTTAAAAAATGGAGATTATTATTGAGAGTAGGGAGAAAATAATGGGGAACACATGTCATCCTGTACACATGTCCTGCAAAAGTTTCAACAGATTCCTTGCTTTCTGCACTTCTGTGGTTGCTGCTAGTTGGTTAAATTACTTTATGACCACCATGTACACGTTATACTATGTGTCAGTTGATGACTTCAGAGCAAGTGTGATCCATGTTGGTAATTTCTAATTTTGAGACAATTAACAAAAACAGCTACATAATATTTCCCATGTTTTTTTTATTTTTTCCTGAGAGTCAAGTGGAATTTATAATAACAAATTCTACTTGGATCTGTTTTGCATTAGAGCAGTTGTTTTAAGCAAACTCCACTTGCTATGGCTTTAACACCAAAACTGGACTTGGATCACTCTCACTCTGAGGTCAGCAATTATATTACTTTTTGAATTTTATTTCTATATTTTTACTTTTTATTAATATTAAAAAGTAAGAATATAGAAATAAATTCAAAAATTAATATATGACTTATGCATATATTTTATATATATATATAAAATATATGCATAAGTAACATATAGGACAGTTAAGTACCGTATTTACTTGCATATAAGACAGCCTTGCATATAGGATGAGGTGTGACTATAAAGATCAGAATAAAGAAACTTAGATTTATTAATACAATTCTAATTTTATTTTGTTTAATCACAAGTAAAATATCAAATGAACGTAAATGCACACTGTCCTGCAAAAATTACTGTCATTTTAAACTTTAAGGAAAAATCTTGTAAAATCAACAACGTAATTTGTTCATGTAAAACTGGACAATAAGAAACCTTTTCTGCCAATTCTTAACATTATAAAGTCAACACACCTTAATAGTGAGAAAGCTTATTTATTCTGCTGAACAAATGTTTTTAACCCATTCCATGGGCCATCATCAGGTTAAAGATGTTTGGATTCTTAACAGTTGAATCCACTCTCCATCAATTACACTTATGAGTTTCTCCGAATTCTGATTTCAGAATAATCATCTGTTTTCATGTGGGAATGGATTAAAACTTATATTGGGCTCCTGAGTGATTTTGGAATTTCAATCTGGAATTCAATTCAAAAGTTTTGCTTTAATTATTGCTACTCATCTTTACTCTTGACAATACACAAGAAAGATTCAAACGACCCAGATAAAATGCTTAAGTTTTTAAATACAAGAGGGTAGGCTTTTTTTACCATATGCTTACCATCCAGTAAAAAATGCAAATACATGGTTCACAAAAATTATTTGCAAAAACACAAAGATGCTTTCATTTGTGTATATAGGATGACCTAGGAATTTAAAGCTGTGATAAATGAATAAAAACCTTGTTTTATATGCGAGTAAATATAGTAATTTGTAACTATAAAACTAGAATATTCATTAGATCAAATAAGAAAATACAAATAGTTAAAACATTTGATATTTTGAAATCTCTAATTTAGTTTGATTGTATTCCTTTCCGTTAAATGTATGACAGTAGCCTGGCAATAACATGATAATAAAATGTCAAAAACCTTAGCTTAAAGTGAATTGTGCTAGAATAAAAGTGTTGGATAAAATATTGTAATAGAATAGAATTACTTTTAAGTACCTAATGGTATGTAAGAAAATTTTATAAAGTTTGTGTAATTATTTTAGATGAAATACAGTGGAAATAATTACAAGAATAAGAAGGCAGCCAGAATTTTTATACAAACAATAGTAATATTTACTATGTCAATAGCTATTTTAATCATTGTATCTTATAAAATAATGGGATCCTGGAGATTTCTTTGGTCAACCTATGGGTGCATGTAAGTATTTCTAAAATAAATTAATAAAATAATCTGAATTGAAATATTTTAATAGAATTTTTCTCTGTAATTTTTTGATATTTTTTTTAAAGTAAAATTCAATTAAGATAGAATTAAACATTTAATTTTATAGTATATACTGATAATTGATTTATTGTATTTTCTTGACTATAACCTTCTTTTTATCCATGTTTATTTGTCCAAAATAGACTTGAGTCTTACAATTGACAAAGACTTAAATTCTCAGTTTGATATGATAATTGACAGTTGATGAGAGTAGACCATGTTACATGCTGTATGTTGTTAATAAAAATATTTGGCCACATTACTCAACAATCTCGTTAGTTCAAAAGATCTTTTCTGGTAATGAGCATTTAATTTAAAATTACTTTGAGATGACACTACTATGCAGCATTAAAACTAGTAGTTATTGTATGTGTGGAGAGAATGGAAATAAGATTGTCATACATTACCTATTTTGTGGTATTTGTATTTCATTTTTCTAACTTGTTACTTAACAAAGCTTAATTAAAATTGATTATTTTAGAATTTTTTCTCTCCATAAAAAAACTTAAAATTCAATTTCAAATGTGTAGTGCATCTTTGAATTGAAGAAACTAGGTATTTACATTATTTGAAGAACAATGAAAATAAAATCTTGCAGTAGACTTTTAACATTGTTTTTTGTTTTATGAATTTTGTTTGTTATATTAGAATTTTTATATGATGTATTTTATCAATGCTAAATTAAGCAATGAAAGACCAAAGTGATTTAAATACAAAATAAATTTGAAAAAATAATAATCATCTAAGTAAACACAAATCAGTATTTATGAAATCATAAAACATTGAATTATTTAAGGTGTCTGTTTATCTGGAAGCAGATGTCCCTGTAGTCTCTGATTTGGTTAAGGATTAGTGATGGGACAATTAATCAAAATCAAGGAAATTTTGTCATGATTTTTGATTCTTAAAAATGATTCTTTTATGTTTTATAAGAAAATTAATTATTTGTTTTGATTGAAGATTAAAAATTTTTTAAATTATGATATTAACAATTAAGTACTGGTTTATTGGAAACTTTCACATTGACAAAGCAGGGAGTAGGCAATGCCCCGTACATGAGGTGATGTATGTTACACCAAACTTTTCTTTTGTGTAATCAGAGCAACAGGAGATTGCACTTGGTTGGTACTGTCTGTTTCCATTTTCAGGGAGATAGGGTGACTTTAGAGTTGCCATCCAGTCAGCATTGGGCTTACTTACCAGCAATCTGTATTCTCTATATAAGTTATATTAAAAGCAAAATGTTTTGTCACCCCCACTTACAAATAACCTAAATTTTAAAAAATCCAGCAACAAGTTGCTTAACCAGCAACATTTGGTGGTGCCATCTGCTATCATATTTTATTGAAAATTTTTTTAATATTTTTAACTATTGTAAAATAGTAAAAAAGTTAATTTTGAGGGTAGGAATGGGTTTTATAAAAAATTGTAAATGCTTTAACAAGTAAAATTGTCATTAAGTCCAACCTTACTGGAGATACACATAACCCTTTCATTTCCCCACTTTTTCAACCTTTAACCACCAAAATTTAATAGGATTGATCCCCTAATACACAAACCGCCCTGCAAAATTTCAGAAATTATTGACAAAAAGTACAGGAGTTATTAAGCTTCAAACAGGATGGAAGAAATCATGCCCCAAACACACACTAACATACCCAAACACACTAACATACAGAAATTACCCCCAAATTTTTTTGCATTTCTCAACATTTCAAGGTGTCCTAATTCCAAAATGTAAAAATCTTGGAGAGGTCATTGTTTGATCTATCATCATACTTTCCCTCTGTTTATATATAACAGCCAGTAAAGTAAAATTAGATTTACAATTTGAACATTTCAAATAATTTTTAAAAGATTTTTATAAATATTATTTTAATTTTCAATTAATTTGATTTTCATTCTATTTGATTTGATTTTATTTTTGATTAAGACCAGTGAATTTTATTATTTTTAATAATTATTTATTTATTTCACTTTGCACATTTTAAATCCTTAATTACAATTTTTACTTATCTAGCTGTTATATAACAGAGAGAAAGTATGTCAATTAATCAAACAATGACCCCCAAGATTTTTATATTTTTGAACTTGGGACCTTGAAATGTCAAGAAATGCAAAAAAATTCAGGGTTTTCTCTGTCTGTATGGATGTTAGTTTGTGTGTGTGGGGGGGAGAACGATTTATTCACCCTGTTTGAAGCTTAACCTTTCAGCAGTGGGTTAGTCAAGTATGGTGCTATCTCTATGTAGAGGAGAATAAATGTGGAAAATTTTTTAAGTATAATGGTAATGAGAAAAAAACGCATGGGAAAATGCGTTTTTTTCTCATTACCATTTCGGAAAAAGATTTTGTAAACAGTTATGTCTAGTAAAGAAAAGTCTTTTTTTATTGTTACATAATTCCTTTTTTATGTGAATTTTTTTTCGTGCTAGTTTTTGGCTATATCCGCAAAATTCTTTTTTGCCGATATAGCCGTCAATGTGGTTAATACTATGGTACTGCTGAGTGGTTAATAACTCCTGTGCTTTTTGTTGAAAATTTCTGAAAGTGTGTGGGTTGGTTTGTATATTGGGGATTGACGCTATTAAATTTATGTGGTTAAAGGTCGACAGGGTGGGGAGATAAAGGATTGTTTTTGTATCTCAAATAAGGTTGAACTTAATGAGAATTTATACTCATTATTAGCATTTACAATTTTTTATAAAACTTATCTCTAACTTCATAGTTAAGTTTTTTGCCATTTTATAATAATAATAAATAAAAAGTGTGGCATAACAGATGTCACTACAAAATGTTTCCAGGAAAAAGTTAAACAACTCATTGTTGGATTATTTTCTTTTGCGACATACTATACAAATTGTTTAAGTGTTGTTTTACACAAAAGATAATCAAATTTAATTTTCTTTTAATTTTTTTATAATTTCATTAATTTGTTTTATAAATTCTAGGTTTGAATGTGTTGTAGTATTATATACATCTAGTTCAGGATAGTGTTTCTGGACCTGTATAGTAATCAGCATTAGTAGAAGGCCTATAGATGGCCCACAACTCTGCTTGAGTAATGCTGCAGTGGTTAGCCATCTTAAGGGCAACTTGATACGTTGTTTTATCATGCTTGTCTATCTTTTATGCCCTATCGTTTAGTGACCTGTCAGTGAAGAATTTCCAGTGGTTGTTCTTCATAGTATTGACATGGAAATCCATGTAGATGTCATATTCATTTTTTTCTGAGAGGTTGGTAAGGGTTGTTCCACTGTCTAAGCCATGTCAATGTCATTGCTGCAGATGTCCATTACCAGATCTTCACAATGGGTGGAAGGCTGGCTGATTGTAATAATGCGTTAATCTCTTCTGTGGCGTTATCTTTCAAATTATTCCTTATTAAAAACCATTCCAGACTATTTCCTTAGCCTTCAAATATATAGGCTTGTTGTTTGCCAGGATGAGCAAGGCATCTTGTTGGCAGTGTATGACATGCCCTGCAGACCCAGATGGTTTATTTTCTCTGGATTGATAAGAGTTTCTTATGTGAGTATTGTTTAAAGCCTACCTCCAAACCTGCACCCTGTAAAAAGCTGCCAGTTTAATGACTGAGTGATAGATGAGCCTGGTTGATCTTGGGCCCAGGCCCCAAGTATTTCTCTATATGTGGGTCAGTAAATTGTGGTGGTGCTTTGTGTTATTGATCTTATTGGATTCTGTGCTCCTGATTTCTGCTCAAATATATCTATGGTCACTACCTGAATCCCAGAGAAGTGTTTCACAATGCTCGACCTTATATCCCAGATTTGTTTGAATAAGGAACACATCATTCCAGCCTTCAGTGAAAGCAGTATTGATATTGTATTTTTATCCATAATCCTTAGCACTATATATAGTATGGTGTAGAAATTTAAAAAGGTGAAAACAAAATGGCAAATATTAGATGGTCTGATACTGCTGTTAAAAAACTGTTGGAGGATATCAGGTGCTATCCTATCCTTTATGACAAAAAAGACCCAAATTATAAAAATAAGAAGATAAAAGTAGAAGTATCAGGCCTTGGAACAGAAAATGGCTTCAAAATTAGTCAGAATAGTAACTCCCAGCAACAAAAAAATGACTAAACAGTGAGTGAAATAAAATTAGTTGGCCATGATGATATACATTATTTGTAAGGAGTCAAGTCTGAATGTTATTTTATATTTATGGGTTTTGTTTCATTTGACCATTATAATTTAGTTTGAGACTGTTTTCTTTTGTTTAAAATAACTTGGCATTATTTGACATTAAAATGGCTAATGAACTGGATGCTGATATAATTTTAATTCAAGAGCCTTATACCATGCATAAAAGGATTGTCAAGTTTGATGGATGTCAATGATGGATTCTTTGTGATCATCATCCTTTGTGAATGCCAGGATTGTCAATGATGGACTCTTGCTATCCAAAAGGACAATAGGGAAAAATCTGGTATCATTGTACAAAATGGTACTTTGGATATTGTCATGATTCCACACTTTTCTACAGCAAATATTACAATGGCAGTAATTCATCAGAATCCCCAACTTTTTCCGGTCAATGTCTACCTATCATCAGAAGACTATGACATACACTGCATTAATGAACTGGAAGAAGTAAATCATAAAATGAACAGTAGCAACTTCATAATATTGTTGATGCAAATGCTCTGGCCATATGCCATATTATATTTTAGGTTTAGTTCATAGTCTTTTGCATATTTCCTTTGTTCTCTCCACCTTCTAATCTTCTTAATTAATATTCCCTTGGAGATAAAGGCCACTTCCTGGAATTGTCAAACAATGAATGCATAGTTTCCTGAGGGCATATATGGGGAGAAAGTAAACTTTTTGGATGGTCCTTGAAGTGAGAACACAAACAGGAGAATAGGGAGAGTTGTCAAGTACCCAAGAGACAGGTGAAACCAGTTCAGAAATAGAGAGATTCCAGAACTTATTGGACCAACGTTACAGTGTTGAAGTCTGTGTCTCAACTTGATGAGTTTCAGGCTTGGACAGACAACTGATGACTTGGACTAGAAATTTATAGAAACTGTCTTGGACTAGTTGATCTTATTACTAGTTGTTTTTAATATTTAAAGAAACTTTTTCTTGACTTCCTAAATATTAAAAATATTCATTTAATACGTTAAATGTTACAAAAAACATTCAAATTATATGTAATAGATCTACAAAATGAAATATAAATTACATTTCAAATTAATTAGTCTTCTTTATTTTCCAGATTATCTGTACCAGATTTAACACCAAATATTGGATTGTTTTGGTATTTCTTTACAGAAATGTTTGAACATTTTCGTATATTTTTTCTTTGGACGTTTCAAATAAATGCTTTCATTTATACTTTGCCACTTGCTATTAGATTGAAGTAAGTACATTATTAACATATTTCATTTGTTCAAATATAATGTTTGTTATTTTTTAATTTCCCTATTAAAGTATATGATGCATATTTTGTGTGTGAGTAAATCTCAAAAATTGTAGAAGTTATTTATTAATTGTGTATAAGATGAAGTCAGTTAAAATTTTGAAACACCAAATTTTTTTTTGTCATAAGATAGAAATTAAAAGGTATGCTATGAAACTGTCTGGATCAATTGTTTCAATTTGTTCTACTCCAAAACTTGACCATAAACTTTGTTTCATTCTGGGTCATATAAAGTTGTTTGTATAAATGAAGATTCCAATTAATTAGTCTTAAGAATCACCTTGAAGACTCTGAGAGGCATGCAGTTTTAAACCTGCATGGTAGCTGCCATTAGTATTAAACTAGATGCATGCAATATGTTTATATTTGATTTCCAATAACAAGAAGTAATTATATTTTCTCTGCTTCACATCGTATTGAAAACTTTAAAATTATTATTTCAAAATAATGGAGTCAATGGAATTAGTGGCTATATTAAAATAGAAATTATAAGCAAGATTTTTTATGGAAGCAGTTTAGAAAAATTACATTATTTAGAGAGCAAATAAAAATTGTAATTAATATATAATCTGAACTCTAGACCAGCTGAGCTATTTCTGTGTTTCTGTTGGCTCCATAGTTCACATTACTCAAAGGTAAAATGCCAAAAAGATTTAAAAGCCAGTAACATTTAATTTGCAATAAATGTTTCTAGGATACACAGTGCTTCAGTAGATACCAAATGTCAGAAAATTTTGTACATCAGCATAAAAATGTTTAATAAACTAATGTTTTCAATCATATTCAATGATCTTCCTCAGGATTTATAAACCATAAGTTGAATAATTTAGAAATGCAAACATAAAAATATAGGACAAGATTTTTAGAATGGTGAACAAATTTTAATTTGTGATGTTTACTTATTTCTTTTACATTCTGTTTGCCTTGGTACTAAGAGGGTCTTTTTCTATGTTCATTGGCCAAGCCCACAAATGGAGGCAGCCAGGTGGTGAACAAAGGCCTGACTTTCCTGGACTATCCCCATATGAAAAATTCCTGGGATTTTTCAACTTCCTGATTTCTGAGTCTCCTAGTGGTAGGCTACTGCCTTAAATTCCTTAGCCAATTGGACTCCTGTTGTGTATACTATAAGGAAATTGACTGTCTGGGCCTGTCCTCGGTTTATGCCCTTTGTTGTAAAAATGACAAACAAAAAACTTCATTAATTTTACATTTTTATTAAAATACATTTACTTTTAATTTTCTCCTAACCCTTTAAACCAATAATCTAGAAACAACAAGTGAATTGTTACACAAAACAAAATGTTTTCCACCATTTTCAACAGTCAGCTTCATGTTACATAATAGAAGATCAAACAGAACATAAAATATAAATTTAAAAATTAAAAGAGCTTGGTAACAACATGCCAGCAAAGGCAGGTGCATGTTGACAATGCAGAAAGAGCCCTCTATGCTTTTGCACCATGTAACCAAAGGGTCAGCACCACGTCAGTGATGATTAAGTTGTGAGGTCCTGACACCACTATGTTTGAGGACAGACACAGAAACATCTATGGCTGTTAAGTTTGTTTTTGTATACAAGCGGTCATGTGTGTGTAGGTGCTCTGGCCTGGGATGGAGACAGTCTGAGAGACAACCGAAAGAAGTGCACTCCACTATGAATTTAACATTAAACAATACCCATTTATCTACATAAACATTTTACATTTCTGTATATAAGTTATATAAGGATCTTAGCTAGATGCTAATTTTATAAGGATCTCTACAAAGTAGCAATTATCATTAATATTGCAGGTCCCTGACAACGAGAGAGAGAGAATTCACAATAGTTTGTGAGTTGATAAATACCTTAGTTAAATCAAGGTTGATTCTTTTGGGAATCGTACGATTGGTGAATAAATGATTTCGCAGGATTGTTCAGAATCTTCAATGAGTTGAATTGGAGTGTTCATAAGCTAACTTGATTGGAGGGGATTGATTGGATAACTTGCTAGGATCAGCAGGATGTATCCGAGATGAGAGACGAACAAACTCTCAAAATGAATGAACTCTATTTGATGGACAAACTCTCTGTGTTTTCATTGGATGTTGCCTTTTATTTGGGGTCCTCCCCTCTTTCTTCTCCTGCCAATTTTTCATAATGTTGATTTCTCCCTCCAATAATGATTTTTGTTGTTAGGTTCCTGGTGACACATTGAATTGTCACCTGGGAAAGGAAGTGACTCCAGCAAGAGATACAATTATATCCTCCAACACTTAAATTATTTTTCACTGGAAAAATTTTTTACCTTGTATGTTTCAGAAAAATTTAATTTTTTACGCCTAAACTTTTCATCAGTCCTGGCTTTCACACACATACAGGAGAGGTAATTAAAATAGAAATAAATAAGTAAAAATAACAATATAAAAAAATAACAAAAACAGGAGATATGATGATATAAAATTTCAAATACAGTAGAATTTCGATTATCTGGACCTCCATTATCCGGATTGTTCAAAATAAACAAAAATTTTACGAATATGCTGATTTGCACTTGGCAAATTATGACACTGTTTATGTACGTGATGGAATGCATAACTTTTTATGTTTCAACAGCGTCTCACCCAGCACAGTGGTCGTAAACTCTTAAATATATTTTAAGTCATAATAAAAATATAACTTGACATACGTATTTATAAATAATTTATATTCAAATTACATCATTTCTATGACCAAGGGCAGCGTAAGGCATGGACGACATGGGCCACCGTCTATGCCTCATGGTCCGAAGGGCCTCGCGCCTCGAAGGTTTATGCATTACTTAAAAGCCGCGAATGCAATGAAAAAATTTTACACGTCATAAAATGATAAATAGTTTGTCAAATTTTTATTCATAAAAATGCAGTTTCAACTGCTTTTTATTTTATAAAATCCGTCTTCTTGCACCACCAGAGGGCCTTTAAAACAATAGGTAGTCTGTTAGCGCTGGTCAGTAGTAGTCCAAGTTCAATACAAACATTTGTTTCTTCAAAATTTGATCACGATTTAAATATAGTATTTATTTTTAATATTACCGATATGTCATTGAAAAGAAAACGTGTTGTATTATCATTAAAAGACAAATTAAAGTATTTGTTTCGATTATCCGGATTTTTCCTTATCCAGACTACCTTCATCCCCAATTAGTCCGCATAATCGAGGTTCTACTGTATAACTTTCCAAGAATAAGATACAGTTTCTGGGTCCTTAAAATTAATAGTGGTGACTCTCTTTATAACTTTGTACATTTCAAGCCTCTCCAAATACCTGAGATGTGCCAGGATAGATATGAAATGCAGAAGATGGCCCCAATAAAATGATACATTGACGTTATTGTCAGAAGTGGAAGCCACAAGAGCAGTTGTGCTCAAACTTTTTTTCATGGGCTATCATACTCTTTAGTTCTGATGCTCAACAATCTGGTTGTCATTCCAATATACTCATAGTGTCAGTCAATTCTGTTGTCTTTAATACATATGGCATATATACCCAGGAGTAAAGACTCTTGACAAGGATCCTTAGCATTTCTAAGCAATGAAAAAACTGTCTGACTCCTTTTATAGGTGATGTTAATATTGGAGATTTCTGCAAATTTCCTGTAGATGTTGTGTAGATCCTTGCTGAACATCAACCTCATTTTGGGGTTGTCCTGCCTGAAATACCACTGAATGGACTAATAAACTTTGGAGAATAGCCATGCATAGAGGCTAAACAGTAGATACAGTGTAGCTCCCAGTTCCTGCATCGGGTATCAGAGCAATGGATGAAAAACTCTTTTAACAAGAATCCTGAATGTGGCTACTTTGTACAAGTATGGGTCATGAGACCATGTAGGAATGAATAAAGGCCTGTAAGATTCCTTTTGGGAGATGTCTGTATGAAACAGCTGTTACATACGTTACATAGAGTGATAACAATATTCAAAAAGTGGACCTGATAGAAACTATCCTGTTCTGTGTGCAGTGGTAGGCTGTACAAATTTTTAGCCACTGTAATGAGTGTGTTCTCAACATATCTTTTGTACAGGATGATTTGGTCATGAAAGATGGGAAGGACAGTCTGCTCTAGAATCATATGACAGGTTTACACAAAATACTGAAAATCAGACTACCCATTGAGATGCCTCTAGCTTGAAGATAGGTGACCCTTTCAAAGATGAAAAATGAGATTGGCCAATTCCAATACCAAGGCATAGTGTTTAGCTGAATTTTTGATGTTAGAGAGTAGAAAGTTGTACAGTTCACGGAAAGTTGGTTCAATCTTAATAGATGGAAAAAGTGTTTGGTAATTGCAAACTGTGGAGTAAACATCATTCTGGATTGTTGTGCATTTGATGGAGAAAACCTTCCAGAGTGGTGATTACATACAGCAAATCTTGGAGGTTGATAACTGCTCTTTTGGCTTTTGCCTCTGACACTAATGTCATAGTATCACTTTATTGGGCCCATCTGCATTGCACATCTATCCCAGCACATCTCAGATATTTGGAAGGCTCGAAATATACAAAGCTACAAAGAGAATCGCCACTATTAATTTTAAGGATCCAGAAACCGTATCTTATGCTTGGGAGTTATGATATCAAATCTCCAGTTTTTATTGTATTTTTTTGTTATATCTTTATTTTTACTTATTTATATTTTGGATGCCACATCTTTGCATATGTGCTTGCTTTTGCCAACATGTTGTTACCACACTTCTTTAATTTTAAATTTATATTTTACGTTTGATGTTTGATCTTCTGTTATGTAACCTAAAGATGACTGTTGATGACCATTGAAAATTGTGGAAAACATTTGTTTAAGTATTAAAGTTTATTTGTTGCTGGATTATTGGTTTAAAGTGTTATATGAGGTATTAGCATTTGGTTACATTGGTGTTTATGAAAGTTGAAAGACATTTTATTTTAGAAAGGAACCAATGTTGCTGTTCTACATATTGCTGACTCTGATGGCTGTATTCAAATCGTATCCCAGCATAAGTGATGTAGGTCTGTACTTGGCCATAATGCCTATCTGGACTCATTTATTTTTACGTAAGTAGTTTTTAAAAGTAAAAATATATGGTAGTTCAGATAATGTTAACTCTAATCTTTCTGCAGACACACGACAGAGTTTTCTGGTGGGCTGCATCCTCTTCAGTTGTTCTGTTTTGGCTCCAGTTCTCTGGTATCTGTGGATATATGCAGGAAGTGCTAATGCCAATTTTTACTTTGGCATATCTCTAGCCTTCAACACTGGACAGGTAAATATAACCAATAGTAGTTTTTGCTGGTAATGTGTCACTCTCTTTAATTAATTAAGCATTATGTATGGGTATTATTGGCATTCAGGCTGTTCCCGTGTTGCAGTTAAAGAAAAATGATCAGAAAGATTTTATTTTAGGAATGTACTAAATATTTTCATGGGTTTTTGTGTAAAGACATGGACAACTCCTTCCATAGAGATAAATGAAGCAAAATGAATGAATGAATGATATTCATTCTAATTAGAATATTTGTTGGCCAGTTGTAGCATAGAAATACAAAATGTCAGAAGAATAACAAGATAATTTGGCTAGCTAATAAGGTCAGACAGAAATTTTAATAGTCTTGTCCTATTAACATCATCATGGATAAATTACAAGCCAAAAATTTACCATAATGCCAAAGGAAAAAGATTTTTACACTTCTGTTTAATTCTGGCTAAATTACTTTTATTTGGACTAATAATAATAATACAATGATTAGGCCACAGTAAGGAAGCCATCAATGAAAAATGTGGTAACGGAAAACTTCATCACAGATGTCGTGATTGGTACAATAAGGTAAAAATGTCATAGAAACACACTCAAAGTTTTTAAAATATTTTTAAACTAGTTTGACATACAAAAATGGCTTTCTCACCTGATGAAGGTTCCTTAAAGTGGCTGAAAACATTTGTACATTCATTAAATTTTGTACACTGGTATAAGAAGTGTGAAGTGTTTTTAAAATACCATAAGGTATCACATAATTTAGAAACTATTCTTTAGTTGTGTGTATGCACACACATTGTTAATGCTAAATAAAGCCAGACTGATATATTACAGTGGAAAATATTCTAATACATGATATGAGTGAAAAACAACCTTTCAAATTCCCTTCAAAAAAGTTTATTGGAATAAAAACGTTTCCGACCAGATTAAATGGTCTTCTTCAGTTAAAGAACATATAAATATAAATTTGTAATATAAAAGAACACAAGATAAAAAATTTAAATAATTAACCTGGAGGAACATGAGATACAAAATTTTTACAAATAGAATACAAATTATTTAAATATGAATGAACATAAGAATAAAAATTTTTAAATACAAAAGAAGCAAAGAATAAATATTATATATGTATAAAAATAATAACAAATGATAAATAAATAAACATTATCATCTAATAGAATAAAAGCAGTTAAAGTTCAAAATGTGATTTCCATGTGTCAGAAAGCATGATGATTGATTCATGCTGATTTCTTATTACCCTTCTAAATCTCCAATTTCTCTAGGTAGCTAATAGTGTTGAAGTTAGAGGTAGGCTTGATGAACTTCACTTGTTCACAATTCACTTGTATAACATGATGATGAGCATAAGCTGCTAATGCTGTGTTAGACAGGTTCTTTTCTAATGCGTATTTATGTTCCTTGAACCTTTTGCATAAATTACACCCAGTGGCACCTATGTAGGCAAGTTTCAATGCAAAATGTTGGACAACTATTGGAATGGAGTAAATCCCAAAGGAGGTACTGTGATTGTGCTGTATCTTGTCATTTCTTAAAAGTTTGAAGATGGTTGGGTTGCATCTCTATACGGATATAAGATTGTTATAGTCTGCCACCTCCTTAAGTTATAAAGGTTGTAAGTAGGTTTTCTGTATACTTTGGTAGTTATACAGAAAACTTACTTATCAACCTTTTTTCATTCCATACAACTCTGTGGACCTTCAACACATCAAGCTCTCTACTTTCAGATTCATGATAAGAAGGGCATTTACTCACTGCACCAACATTACATTTTAAGGATTGCCACACGACAGATATATAGTTAAAGTGATACAACAATTAATAGTAACTTTTTAAACCTCAAAGACTAACCAGATACCAATGAAGCATAAAATAAGGGTTGTCCTCAGCTATCTCTCAATTTTAAAAAGGATACATAAAAAAGTGGCTGATTATAGCAATTTTATGATCCATTGATTAGGGATGTGACTAAATTGGGCTAGCTTGATAAGCAGTCTGGATAGGATAATGTAGGTTTTAGTTTTTTTATAGAAGATTGCTGGAATAAGATCTGGGTTATAGTTAGAAGTCTTTAGGGAATCAATTGCTTCAGAAACATTTTGAATATCATTTTATACTGTAAACCCATTCTACAGTGCAACTTGTGATAACTGACATAATTGTGATTCAGCTAGAGGCACACCATCCATAGTTTACTGATTGTCACTGCCTCAAGTGAGTGTAGGATTGCCATAAGTTCAAAATCAGAAATTGAGACATTGTGAGGCAATGTTGCCAACCAGAACATATCATAATTCTCTGGCAGTACCCCAAAATTTCCTTATTTGCATACAATTTCCCAGTAACCCTGGAAATTTTCCCCAATTTCCAGGTGTTATTGAAACATTGATAATGTGTTTATAATGTCACTATATTAATATTATTATTATATTATGAATGATTCATTGTATTTAGTAATTAAAAACTTTTAAAAAAGTCCAGCAATGAGTTGCGTAACTTTCTGGACAAAAGAACCTAAACTTGTCTGTGGCACCATCAGTTACAATGTTTTATTTTTAAAAAACTTTTCATATTATTAATTATTATAAAATGGCAAATAGTTTAATTTTGAAGGCTGAGGTGAATTTTAAAAAAATTGTAAATATTAATGATGTATAAATCTTCAATAAGTCCAACCCCCACTTGAGATATGACAAGTGACCCTTTTCTATCTTTAACCACCAAAATTTGATAGCATCAGTTTCCTTATACACAAACCTCCCCTGCAAAATTTAAGAAATTTTCAACAAAAAGCAAGTTGTTAGTTAATCTTCAAATTTGGATGAACAAAATCATGACTCCCACACATATACATCACTACATATAGGAAAAAGAACCCAAATTTTGTTTTGCCTTTCTTGACATTTCAAGGTCCTCGAGTCCAAAAATGTAAAAATCTTGGGAGGGCCATTTTTTGATCAATCACCATACTTTTCCTGTGTTATATCAACTGAGAAAATAATACTCTTGCAGATTTTTTTTTTTTTTAATATATAAGCAATATAACAATTTTTGATACTGTTTAGTTTTTGTAAGGAGTGACATTGTATTTATTATACATTGCAACAGAATGAAGTTTCAGATGAGAATTTGTAACATTAAAAGTAATACAGTCGACCCCCCTATAACGTACATTCCTATAACGACAATTCCTATAACGTAGCGAAAATATTGTAGCAACTTTCGTATAAAGTACCTCCTATAACGTCATTTCGCGACAAGATTGATAGAGTCTGGACCAATAGTGGATGAGCAGCCGAACTACTTTCCTCCGACCCTGCGCCACGCTACGGAGCGGCTAAATTGAGTTTGCTATCGTCTGTTTAGTATTATATATAAATTATATATAAATTAGGTACTGTACATATAATTATATATTAATTATATATAAATTAGGTACTGTATATATAATTATATATTAACTTAATTTATTGTAACTTTATTATAATTATATATATGCTTTCTGCCGCCTGGCAACACGCTACGGAGATTTTAGGCTAGTAAGTTGAGTTTATTATCGTCTGCACAGTATGTAAATTAGGTACCGTAAGTCTAATACAGCACTAATTTTATACATTTCTTGTGAAAGAAACACTTCTTATTCAACGGCCATAAAAATTATTTATATTAATGATGTCTCCAAAGGTCAAGTTATTTTTCTGCGAAAAATTCGTTATCAGAAATCGCGGCCGTCATTTCATGTGCTGTTCCGCGAAGAAAACCAGCTTTAAGCAACGGCGTAGTCGAACGGTACACACTCGGTAAGTAATCCTATAATTTTTTGTTTATAGCATAGTTTATACAGATTATTCCCAAAAAATTATACGTGTTTTGGAAATGTTGAGTGGAATTAGTCTAGAATCGGTTAATTTTATAGAAGAAAACCTTTCGAACAGCCTTAGTCCGTAAAGTTCCCACCTATCGGGCTGCGATTGGCTCATGTATTTAATCATTCCTACAACGTAAAATTCGATTAGCGTGGAACGTATCTAAGCGTTATAGGGGGGTCTACTGTACAGTTAATATTTTATCTTGAAAACATGATCTGATAATCACCATTGCATTTAAAGTGTTATCACCAATTTGTTTCTTTTTTTGGTTTTGATGATGTTCATTATAGAAAAAAAATCTTTCACAATCTGCATTTGAATGGAGTAAAGACAAAGTAAGGCAAACAAGTTTGTATAAATTTTGGAACTTCCAGAAAAATCTCATTTTGCCAATTTTTCCCCACATGTCAGGAATAGTGTCATTTTTCAGTGACTGTTTTACTCTTACATCAAGAACATACGGAAGAATTTTTTATTCAGAAACAACCAAAGAAGCATCTAGTCAATCAGCAAAAATTGATTTTGCAGATTTCCAACTCTTTTCTGATTCTGAGGATTGATTGCAGTTTCTGGGCTCAAGAAGTTAGCTTCTTTGAACAGTCATGTTGAGAGGATAAAATAATTTTGTATTCTGATTAAAACAGATATAAATTTCTCACTTTCTTTCCCTTTTTCCCATTCCTGAATTCCTACAAAAATATGGGAATTTCCCATGCAGTTGACAATGTTGAAGTGAGGTAGCATTGTGGTAAAAATTGATGGATACCCAGTATTAGGTAGGCAGTAGCTACTCTGGAAAATAAGTGAATAATATTAATTTAATTTAATCAAATTATCAATTATTGAACAGTTTTGATTATTTGTTGAAAGAAACAACCTTATTGTTTGACTTACATATTTCAACTATGCTTTTGTTAGAAAACCTGGTCGACTCCATTGTTCCCTACAACAGACACAATTAAAAATAAAGCACTCACTAGTGCTAGTGTTGCCACCTTTTCAAAATCTCTGACCCAGACGGCAAGTGAGGTTTGTTCGAACAGAAGTTCCTGACACATGTGCAATATCATTTTGCAATGCGAAGAATAATGTACAGTGCATGCTGGTTCTAAATCAGTTACAGTTAGGGACTAGGGAGACTTGGGTAGGAGTAATGTAAGTAACCTAAATTAAGAAAGAACTACAGATGACTTAGCTCTATTGGATATTGGAGATGTGTATGAGTTTGAATCGTACAAGCAAAAAAAAAAGTCGGCAGGTTGCGCACTATATTCCCGGACAAACTTAATAGTTCACCAGGACAGTGAGTCGATTCCCGGACTGTCCAGGTGAAAACCGGACAGGTGGTAACACTACTTAGTGCCCACAGAATGGTAAAAGAAAAACGTCAGACTGTGACCATTTATAACCGTCGATCTTTCACGGACAATTGCAAGAAACCATCGATTCATCGATCATTCATTGTTTCGAAGCCATCGAATTGCCATTCAAAGTCGCACGATTCGTGTGTCACAGATTACAAAAGGCGTGCGTACATGCGAAGACAGTTTGTGTATATATTTACAAAACCTGAAGACACTTACCTCCAACAGTTCTTATTTGACCGTTTTTAATGCAAGTCATAATATTTTCATGTAGAAATTGGAACATTCCGGGGAAAGTTTTTCAGTCGGGACAGCGTTCGAAATCGGGATGTGTGGCTACTCTAGGCAAGTATGCTCAAATAAGTTGCACAAAGTTATATTAAATACACAGATTTGTTTCTATTTTTTGTGTTTTGGTCCAAATAAACGGTTGCTCCAATTACCTGGTGGTCCAATAAAGCAGAATCCACCGTATTTATTTTTACTTTCCCGGCTGTTATATATAACAGAGGGAAACTATGGCAATCTGTCAAAAAATGACTCCCCCAAGATTTTTACATTTATAGGCTCAGGCCGCCACGAAACGTCGAGAAATGCAGGGGGGTTTCTGTATGTATGGATGTTAGTGTGCGCTTGGGGCACGATTTTGTTTACTTTGTTTGAAGCTTAATAACCCCCCTGCTTTTCGTCGAAAACTTCTGAAATTCTGCAGAGAGATTTGCTTATTAGGGGATTGATGATACTAAATTTTGGTGGTTAAAGGTTGAGGGAATGGGGTGTCGTGTATGTCCAGTAGGGTCGGACTTAATAACGTTTTACTGGTTAATAGCATTTACAATTTTTCACAAAACTCATCCCTACCATCAAGATTAATTCTTTTGCCATTTTATAATAGTTATAAGTATAAAAAACGTTAAAATAAAATATCATAGCAGATGGCGCCACCAAGTGTTGCCAGAAAACAAGGTCTACGAACACAAGGTCAGGACACCAATGTTTCTTACGGAGCCGCCATATTGGTTCCTTTGTTCCAATGCCACGGTATAGATTTCATGTCCCGTACGTGCAGTAAACTGCACATTCCTTCGAGTTCAAGCCACAGAAGGTACGTTTATAATTCCAAATAGAGTAGCTTTTCATTCGGAGGCTATTCCCACATTTGCTTGGAGGCTTTAACTAAATAGATTTCAAAATGAAAAGCTGTCAACGGTTCTTACGATACAGTCCAAGGATAAATTTATTTAGTTTCGAAATGCAAACTTAGAGAAGAAATTAGGAGATATTTATTAAAATAAGAATATATTTAATTTTCTATACAGTTGGTGATCGGTTAACGAACATAATCCGTTTCAAGACGTATTCGAATTGTTCGTTAACCAATTATCGATTTACCATGGGTTTTTATGGAAATTTGATTAATTTGTTCTGAAGACCCCAAAAAGTAAAAAATATATACTTACTACGTTTATTTATATGTAATAATAATAATACATGTGTACACAGTCTTGCATTTTTATTAGTCATGTTTTTTCTATTTGCGAGGGTTAAAGAATTTATCTAATGTCGATTTCTTTTCTCTCTTCTTCAGGATTTTTCAAAAATAATTAATAGCATTGTAATTGTAGAGATCCCTAAGCCTATTAACCTTAACCTGATTTGGATGCCATTCTAAAACCGTCGTTCTGACATCATCCCACTTCTTCAAAAAAATGTTTTTAATAGCAGATATCGACATTAATTCTCTTTTTCAGAAGAAAACATATCTCACCGAGTTTCTTGGAGTCCTTCTGTGGTCAGATTCGTTTCAGGTTCCATTATGAGCGCTTCAATGTTCTTTATTTCTCAGATGTAGACCTGTTCAAACCATACTGCCCAGCAACGTCAGACACCTTTTGCCCACTCTCTACCTCTGCTATTACACACTCACCTTTCGAAAATAAAAACCGACGCAAAACCTAACGAGTGCCCGCCCGACAGTCTCGCAAATACTATTAAAAAAATTGTTTCTGTCAGAAAAATAAAAGGTTGGAATTACAAAGGAGAGTTTCAAAGTTCGGAGGAATACTATCCGATCAGTATATAACAGGTTGAGCGTCGATGTCGACGTCTCCCGCGCTCCAAAAAGTTTCGAAATGTCTGAAGACAAGGGAAGACCAATCGGTATTCATTATTTTACATCGCTTCTTCTTGTGTTTGTTCTGTGAGGTGTTCGTTATCCGAACGTAAAAATCTTTTGCAAAAATGTTCGTTAACCGATCACCCACTGTATTCACATCAATTTTTGTATTATGCAAATTGCAGGGAGGAGCATCAGAGTAAACATTTTTATAAATTAAAGTTAGCCAAAGACAAGAAAACCTTAATATATACAGTTTGTGAGAAAAGGAAATCTTAAAGTGTTTGCAAGAGATAATATTATAGAAATTCCTAAATGAAGTTATGCATATAAATTAAATTTAATTATTTTTATAGAGAATTAAATAAGTATATTTATAAAAATTTATATAACAGTAGACAATACCGATAAATATAAATATCAACTTATATCAACAATATTAATTTAAACGAACGAAAGTTTTAATTGCAAGTTTTAAAGTATGTTTTCAGTCCACAAACAACATATTATAACAGATTTAGTCCGTTTAATAAATCTGTTATTGTAAAGTTTATGCTATTCTGTTTAATAAGTTACATAATGTTGTTATACAACCTGTCAGAAAATTAAAACTTTACCACAGTCTATAGACTAGTACCGAACTNCGTCAGATCCGTTTCGGATTCCATTATGAACTCTTCGATGTTCTTTATATCTCAGATGTGATTTTTGTTACTCCTTTAGCTGCTTGAGTCTTCTTTATAATACAGTATCTTTCTTAGATAAGATTTAACTACGGCCTACTGTAGACCTGTTCAAGCTATACTGCCCAGAAACATTAGGCATCTGCCCACTCTCTACCTTTGCTATTATACTCTCACCTTTCAAAAATAAAAACCGACGCAAACTTAACGAGTGCCTGCCCGACAGTCTCGCAAATACTATAAAAGAATTGTTTCTGTCAGAAAAATAAAAGGCTGGAATTGCAAGGGAGAGTTTCAAAGTTCGGAGGAATAATATCCGATTGGTATATATCGGCTTGAGCGTCGATGTCGACGTCTCCCACACTCCGAAAGGTTTCGAATTGTTGCCCGAAGACAAGGGAAGACCAATCGGTATTCATTATTTTACATCGCTTCTTCTTGTGTTTGTTCTATGGGGGTGTTCGTTATCCGATCATGTGTTCGTTGTTCGAACATAAAAATCTTTCGCGAAAGTGTTCGTTATCCGATCTGTTCGTTAACCGATCATCCACTGTACATCATCATCTCATGTCTTGACGTAATAATACAATTATTAAACAAAAACGCCTGAGATGTAAAAACATTTCGCCAAGTAAAAATTTATGACAATTTAGACGACGGTCAAAATTTTTCTTTGGTAAAGATAGGCATTAGATTTTTACCTGTGTTTTCTAGATCTCACCTCCAAGCACCAAGCTTATCTTCACCAAAGAAAAAATTTGGCCGTCGTCTAAATTGTCATAAATTTTTACTTGTAATTTTTTACATCTGAGGTGTTTTTGTTTGGATATGTTAACTACTTTCTTCCCAATTTCTCGTCATTTGCCGTTACTCTTATAAACGGAACCATAAAAATGTCTTCCATTGATATCCTTAAGAAAATAGATTCCGATAACTCGTATTGGACTTTTCTCTATAATTTGACGTTTAGAATCACGTATCTACGCCAATGCGAGATCAACGGAAATCTAACCGGAGACGATATTCGCTTCATTTTTCTAGTGTATATTCGTAGTCTTCTTCGGTATCATCTGGGTTATTGTCCTTTATTTCTTCTGTTACGTCGGTCGTCATTTGCATTGATGTACCGATAGATTAGTGGGTTTTTTTTCAATTCGGTTTCAGCTTTTCGTGTTATAGCAGTCGAAAAAGTCAAATTTTTCTATCGCACCCGACCATTTGTCCCGCTTTTACTATATTTTTTCCTTATATGCACTTTTAAATAACTTTTTTTAACTTTATTATCGCTCTTTAGTTTAATATGATTAAAAAAAACCATATAAACAAAATCAGTGACGAAAGAAGTTTTCTGTTTCTACAAAATATTTACTGTTAAAATCGTCCAAAGGCCAATAATTTTTAAAAAGGAAAATTTCCAGAGTTTTAATAATAAATAAATATACAAGAAATACGGTAATTCCACGTTATTCGCAGGGATTACATTCCGCAGATAACACTAGGTATATTATACGAAAACAGCTGGTAAAAATATTGTCATAACTGATCAACGATCGACCTACTCGTACAGTACTTTAGTGAAAAAAAATTTTTTTTTACTTAGGTTCAAAGATTACAAATTCACCAACGTACAGATCGCTGCTGGATATTTGAGTGTAAATCGTGTGTTTATTTCAAATATCGAGTAGCGATTCTCCACAATCAACAGAATGCAACCGAACTTTAAAAAATCCTGTGTCGGATAGGAAGTCTGACAAATACGGTGCAAGTGCATCCTGCGCGGTGCCAAATAAAAGCCATAGAGCTCTCTAATTGACGTATTCACGTTGAAAAAATATCAAAGCCAACTAAGTAAATTATTTACATAGTTGTACTTTGTAACGAATAAAAATTTTCTTTCAGTACGTGATCCGAAAATGCCGACCCTGCACATTGCGTTCGGGTTCGTTTCGAAATGCACTTTGCCACTCGAATTAATGGCTAATTTTTATTGGCTCGTCGGATTTAGATTATCTCCATCCGAGTGGAACGCGGAAGCACTCGTCGACCTTAGCAACAAATATTAAAAACTTTTTATTCCGATTTTGCCACCGTAGATTAAATATTACCTAAACTGCATATTTGTAACCGAGGTTTTTCGTACGACCGCGTTAAGTGGAAGTCACATGATCAGTGGAAACTCGTCGCCATCGAAATGCGCGGTATACATTAATAGATAGTTCGTCTGCTACCTTTTTGGTGGATCTGCTCCACGTTTTTCTCGCCGATTGTCCGGCACTCCGAGGAATATATAGAATCCTGACACCCTACTCTTCTCCGATTCGTTCCTCTGGACACTTCGTGATAAACAACGGTAGGTTAAATTAACCGTTGAAATTGGACGTCCGGTATGGAGATGGCCTCCGTCTTCTGCATCGTCGAAACGTAATAATATGCCTCTTATCCGGTTGTTCTTGTAGACAATCCCGTGTTCCGTCGTGTCTTTCAAATATCGAAAAATTCTTTTAACCTCGATTACGTGGTATTCGGCCGGTTTTTCGAGAGTTCTACCAGCCAACTGCGTAAGCTTTATCCGATCGCGTTCCTCGTGTTAACAACGTCGACTCGCGACGGCTCGTCTGTAGACAAATTTACCATCATTGGATATATCTGTTCCAACTTGGTCGTTACTGACGATGGCAATTGTCGTCCGTCTGCAATTGTTCTTATGTAAACGTTCCAACGGCCTTTTAATGTAAAGACCAAGACTGACCTGTTCATCCCTGTCGATTTCTAATCCCGAAAAACACGAACTTGGCTTGTGGGTTATCTCGAACTGTTTCTTGAGATTTTAACCAACTGATACTATTGTATTCGATTGTCATCAGCGATTGATCCGCATGTGCATACAGAGCTAAGATTAGTTTACTCGCGTCCTAAATCCCATCTTGATTAAATACTTTCCGAATCGAGGAGAAAAATTTTCGGACGAAATACTCTGCCAGATCCATGTCGCATGAAGATGATTATTTTCCACTCACCACAGAGAGACGCGGTAAATAGGTCGGTCTGATCGAACATCGCATTTTCATTGGCTGCAACACTTGACAGAGTGAGTCAAAAAGTAAGTTGCACCGTACCAAAAATACGAGTATGAAACATACGGGTCAAAAATTGTTATTTGTGTGAATGCACAATCCAAACGCTACTTTTCGACGTAACCGCCAAGTTTATTTAAACATTTATTGTAGGTGGCACGAGTTATTCTATTCCTTCTTGGAAGTATTCTCGTCCAACATGCGATAACCATTATCGCGTCGCGTTTGTGACGTCTTCGACGGACTAGTATCGGTAATTCGAAAGGGTTATTGAGTGGGGCCGAACATAAGGAGAATCACAAGGTGCAAGGTATGGCTCAAGCCAGGATGTTCCCATACAGTCGTCCATTTGAATTTTTCCAGTAGGACCTTGGCGATGATATTCGTCCGTAAATTACGTCCTCCTGGGAGGGAGAGGGTTGCGCTTCGGTGGCCGTCCGTTTATTTCACTAAATTTCTTTCACGTGTGTTTTGTTTCTACTTATGGTATCTGTCGTTCGTAAACTGATAAATATTTTAAGGAGGTCGAGTTTTGATGGACTTCCGAAAAGGGGAGTCCATCACAACTCCTTTGTCGGACTTTTTCTCCAAAAAGTCGGAGTAAACGTCCGACAAACTGGGACGGGGAGAGAAGAGTGAAAATTTTAAGAAAAACGGACGTAATTTATAGACAGTTCCTTAGCGGAAGATTTCAATTATTGATAAATTAACACTTGCGCAGTTACTCAACAATAAACAATAAAAAACGCCCGTATATTCTGTCCGTTATCAAAATTCGGAAACTCCCTAATAAAACTAAAAATAAAGAGATAGAACCGCGTTTGTCATTTTTCGGCACACGAACTCTTGCAGAAATCTTGCGCGTTATCTCGGCAAAAATATTAAATAAATAACAAATAATTTTTGAAAAAAATTCTTAATTTATTTATCAAATCATATTCTGCAGTCTTTCAGGGCTATTGTTCTTTTACGAATAGGATTCCAAACTCGAGTTCAGAATCATTTTCGTGAAAGAAAAAAGACCGCTCGCAAATACTCAGCAGGCGTGTATTTGTTTACAAATGTCTGTTACGTATTTCCGACTATCTTGTGAGTAACGAATAAAACTAGATGTACTGTACAATGTATAAATTTCTATAATCATTCGTTATTTCATTTTTTAAAATTATAAAATAATCAAATACAAAGGAACTACTACTTATCTACACTATACAAAGTAGGAATGATGGCAGTAGCGTATTATAATCCTTTAAGGTACTAGGCATTTGTTATAAGGCCCTTTATGTAAAAGTGTTTTATTAAATATTAAAGCAGTTTATATACCAGATTTTCGTTTCCACCTAACTACGCAGAGATTTCTTTTAAAAAAGCAATAGTAATAATAAAATAACATACACGCACAAAATTTCGATCGAATTTTTCTTATCGAATATATCGGAGCAATGTAGTAAGGCCGTCGTCCCCGCTAAAGGAAAAGATCGACTAGAAGAGAAAAATAATTTTCCGTAGTCTTCCGAGCGAGTAATCATTAATTATTAAAACATTTATTGTTTCATTACAAATGTGACAAGACAGAAATCTTCACAAATAATAATTAAAAAATTAATATATCAATAGATAACACGTTTGGAAAAATAATCAATGGCCGAATCTTTATTACGATAATACGCGTCTTCCGCGGTAAGTATTTTTCGAATTGAAAATGCATGGTTTAATGTCAAAAAAAAAAAAAAAATTGGTTAAAAAATCTTGTAAAATGTCAATAGAGCGCGCTTTTTCTCGATGTAGTAAAACGGAATAAGAAAGTGGAGCGCATTATCAAAGAATAAAACGTCACCTGGGGACAAAAAATCTCCAGGGCAGCGTTTCTTCTGGGATAATTTACGACGTTTCCGGAGTTTATCACGGCACGATTCTAATAAATCCCGTTCGTCCGTCCGTCTACGGTCGTTGCTTATACTAACTTTTAAATGGTCACACTCGGATCCGTCAGCGGGAAAAGGGAACAGTATTATGCCTCCGGCCGACGAGTTTTTTACCATACACTCAACCGTTAAGAAAAATGGATATGGGGAAATGCAAATAATCGGATGAAAAAACAAGCAAATTCGCTCCGGAAACCGTACACGCCACCCAAAAGGAACCGTACCGGTGGTCTTAAAATTAGAAATTGTTTTATAAACGGGCACCACGTCAAAGAGTAACGGAAAAGTACCGACGGTGGGGACGGAAATACGTCTGCTGCTGTGCCGGATTACCGAAAGTAGCGGGGGGGAAGTCGGCCCGTCGATTCTTTCGGAATGGAAACCGAAGGCTACGAGGTGTGGACGAATCGGACGGCGTAAAGCGAAACTGCGGCGTGGGACTCCCGGCAATTACTTCGTTAGACGCCGGCGGAAAAAGTTGCACGAGTCGCGCGGTAAACGAACGGCGGAAGGGGCGACGGACGAGAAGGTTAACCCGGCCCGTGGTGCACTATCATTCTCGGGTTGGTTACCGGGAATGGGGACGGCCACGTCTCGGCAGAATTTTTCAGACTAGGAATCCAATACAAAGTTAATTTATAATCGGTAACTTTTATACCGGAAATAACGGACGAGGGAATTCGACCGGCTTCGTTAGCGGGGAAGGCAACGAAAGGAGAGTAGGACGTAAGCGGGGGAGCGCCGGTTGCCCTGACGGCAGAGCGCGAAGAAAGTGTGCGGCCGGCGTTTAACGGGTATGTCTTTTTGTCGTTTCAGATATTCCTGGTGACGGACCTTCTGTTTGGCTACATCAAGCGAGAGTATTACCTGTCCCGCGGCATGAAGACTGACCAACGGGGAAAACCCGTCCAGCTGGAGCTTCGATAGCGTCTTTCACTCTTCCCGCGATAAACCTTCGGACCGGATACGACCGCCTTTCTTCCCTTCCGCTCGACCCGACCTTCGGCAACAGGGCGGAGTCTCCCGGCACTACTCCGGGCCGGAAACGGACGAAAATATCGGGGCCGTCCCTCCCCGCCCGGTACGGCGCTGCTTTTCTTTCGACGGCGGACTTCCCTTTGGCTGCCGTTCGCCGTCCACGTAAGTACTCTCCCTCACCGGGCAAAAAACGGCTTCCTCCGGCGGGCAGGAGGGAAGAAAGACGCCTTCGACCTTTAAATTTCGGCGGTCGAAAGGTTTAACTGGAGATAGTCGCGGGTGGAAGTGGCCCCGCGCGGAAAAAAAGCTCGAAATACTTTGTGCGGGCGGTGGAAAAATTATTTCGGACCGCGGGCCACAAATATAACGCAAGTGTTAGGGCGGCCGACTTCCGCCTAAGTTACGAACCGGCGGCGTTTCCACACGCCGACGATTAAGGCGGCCCCGGGCCACCTTTTGTCCCGGTTTTTTACCGTCGGTAAACTTGTATACAAATTGCCCATTTATGGATTTTTGTCTCCCGCCAAAGACGACGCCTTTGGTTTTAGATTCGAATAAAAAAAAATCAACGAGTGAGAAGAAGCCACCTGGCGTTTTGCATTTTATTCTTCGCCTAACCAGCAGTCGATCCATGTTCAAATTTCTCCACCGACCGACGGTGGTTTTAATGCAATCGTGCGACTTTTCCGTCTCGTAACACATAAACCTCTTAATGTTAAGGATCTTGTGTATTTTAAAACATTCCGTTCGTTAGTGGAAATGGACAAAAATTCCGGCAACGGTTAAAATTTCGGTGGCGTCATTCATTACGATATTTTATTTAAAATCTTTTTATATTCTCAATTGTTTTAAAATGACAAAAAAGCTTTATTTCCAGAATAGGGATGGGTTACGTAAAAACTTGTAAATGTTAATAACCGTTTGTTTGTTTAGTTATGGCAACGCAACACTTCGGCGATCTGCCTAGGGGATGCCTTCTGGGAGGTCTTTTTAAGGGAAACTGGCCCCTGTTTAGGCGTTTCAGACGTGGAGAAAACCCGGAAAACTCCACGTGGCCAGCCCATCCGAGCGAGGCGCGAATCCACGACCGAACTCCCAGTGTTCAGGGTACGAAGACCGCTTGGCCACTGGTGGTCGCCCTAGTAAGCAGTAAAATCGTGTCATTAAGTCCGACCCTACTCCGGATACGATGCGCCTCCTCTTTTATCTCCCCATTATCGACCTTTACCCGCCAAAATTTAATAGCATTCGTCCCCTAATACGCAAACCTCTCTGCAAAATTTCCACAAAAAGCGGGACGGCTATTAAGCGTCAGACACCGGCATTCATGGAAAAAACCCAATTTTTGCATTTGTCGACGTTCCGAAGTCTGAGTCCAAAAATTAAAAATTTCGGGGAGGTCGTGTTTTTGACCGATCACCATATTTCACCTCTTATATGTAATAGCAGGGAAAGTAAAAACGTAAACGTTTCTTGCACCGGTGAAAAAAATGAACGATTCCTCCGGAATCTACGGCTGCGTGACTGACGAGGTTCAGAAATTGGCACCGGCGAGAAACCACAAAGGTTCCGTAAAGGATTTAAAATCCCTCTTTAGACACCGGAATGGACACCTTTCGTTTTTTACTTCGTTATTGTAATCTTATCCAGGCATATCTTCGAATTTTATACCTAACGATTCCAGTTAATGCCATATTTATTTGGCAAAACCGGACACGGTAGATAATTTCGCGGGCAAAAACTTTATAAATCTGTTCTTTGAGTAAATATTTGGAATCGTGCTCCTTAGACACAAATCTAATAACCAAAGGCATTTTCTCAATTCCTCCGATGTCCGGAGTGCAATCTAAAGTATCGACAGTCTTTCGAATCTTCTGTCCCATTAGAAAAAGTCGTTCTCAGACGACCTAAATGCTTGCTTGTAACAGAATCATATTTCGATAGATTGTGTTTTAAATTACCGTTGTTTGAAGTAAATATTTCATTCGAACTTCCTGTCGGTGCTAACAGTGGCCAGGTTCTGACTGATTAACATTATTCTCTAATGTCTCGCCAATGCTGTCGTTCAAGTTCTAAGATTCCTTGATATTCACTATCGCAGTTATCGTCTTATCGGTTTTTAATCTCGTCTAGCCCTATGCAATTTTGGAAGCATTCCATATGTTTTTCACCCTTGAACTTTAGTGCTTGAAGACCTCGCGAAATATTTTTTCAATCCGAGCTTCCACAAAATAACCAATTTTTCCCGTTAGGATCACACAATACATTAGAAACAAAACACTGAATTTGCAGAAAGTTGAACTGGAATCACGGTAGTGACTCCTCGCCAAGTAAAAAAGTGACGGACCGACTACATATACAGGAATCACGAGTTACCGATTTCCGGTAGTCGATTTCTCCGCTCCCAAACACCCGAAGTCATTTCGAATGGGCCAGATGGCCGAGCGGTTAAGGTGGCAGCCTATTGCTCTGGAGAACCCGGGATCGAATCCGAACGAGTCGAAAAATCTCCAGGAATTTTTCGGGGATGGTCCGTCTGGATATGTCTGGTTCCGTCCCTCACCACGCGGTCGCCACATTGTGGACCTGGCCTAACCCATAATGGGCTTGCTAATGGAGGCTGTCTTAGTGCCCACAGGCCGGAAAGAGTTTTTTTAAAAAAAAAAAGCCATTCCGAATATCTCATTCGAAAGAAAATTGTTTTCTTAGGAAGTTGGAAAATTTTAAGATAATGCGGTTGCAGAAATATAAGCAATTGAAAAGTGCAAAAAATCTGGCAACGAGTTTCGTAACCTTTCCCAGCTGTTATAAAATTCTATTTAAAACTAATTGTTATATTAATACAATTAATAAAATCTGTTATGAGATTTTGTTATAAAAAATGTTTTATATTTTTAATTATGATCGAATACCAAAAAGCTTAATTCTGAGGGAAGGGATGAGTCTTTGTAGAACATTGTAAATGCTAGTAAAGAATAAAGTTTTCATTAAGTTCGACCTCTGTTGATATATATCACGTGACTACTATGTCTCCGTCCCCTTGACATTTTACAATTAAAGTAATAGCATCAATGCTCCTTATCCTTATATACAAGCTACCGTGCCAAGTTTCTTTATTTTCACCCGTCCTGAGATAATTAATTAAGCGAATTAGACGCCAACACGCACATCCACGGATTTTTTTTTGCCGTTTTTTTACTATTTGAGGTTCAGGAGGTCTGAAAACGTGGAGATTTGCAAAATAACCGGATGGTCAAATTTAACCCGATTCCATTACTTTCCGTTGTTATGTATATGTTACCGCTAAAGCTCGAAAGCCGTTAATGTGTACAGTACATTACCTAGCTAATCTGCAGATTAACAAGGGTGATCCGTTAAAGTTGCGAAAATTGTTCGATTTCTCAAATTACCTAGGTAATGTGCAGAGTATCTAGGTAATCTGCACATTACCTACTAGGCACTCCGTAAAGTGAAAATAAGATCTTTGCCACAAATAAATGTACCATAAATAGGTGTGCTTGTTACAAAAAAGAATTGCTATGTAATTCAAAGTGTCACCAATCTTTAGACTACACTTATAAGTAAGCACAATTGGTTAATGTTACCTATGGTGACTAAAATGGCAGCTCGTCTCTGATTTCAGCAAGCAGAAGAAAGAAAACAGTGGGGACGCACGTTCTAGCCTAACCTAACCTATCCTAATAATTTGGTTGGTAATAATTATGGTAATTTATTAGAATAGGTTAGGTTAGGTTAGAACGTGCGTCCCCACTGTTTCAGTTCTTCGGTTTCCTGGAATCGGAGACGAGCCTCCATTTTAGTCACCAAAGGTAACAACGCACAATTTTATCATGCGATCGCCGGAAAAAGTATGATAACTTTCTTATTTTTCGTCTCTGGTCCAAAAGTAGGGTATCGTTAAACTCGTCTCGGTCCCCTCAGTTCAGATATATACTCAAAATTCCGAAATTCCATAGGTGGTAATTTATATAATCCCCATTTCCCTAATTGTAATAATATTTTAATCCGTTTGATTTTTTTGTATTACAGTTTTTTACTTGATTGATGATTGATTCTATTAATTAATTTGTTGATTGTTTGATTGTATTAACTTGATTCTTTTGATTGTATTAACTTGATTCTTTAGATATCGAAAATTAAATAAACAACATTATTAATAAAATTTAAGGCAAAACTGTCCAAAAAGGATCACCATTTATTTTTTGTGTTCCAAGACTAACACATTCTCGGCGACTGACCTTTCTTTGTAGGCTGCTTGTCGTCGGAAAATTACAAAGAGTCCTTTTAAAAAACACAAAACACATTCAATTAAAATTACAAAAATTTCTGAAGAAGGAACTGGTGACATACAGTTGTCCTGCTTACATCCATCTATACCTTCTTTTGGGGGTTTTGGCTGCTTTTTTTCAGACAAAACCCCAAAAAAAAGTATACATAATAGATGGATGTAAGCAGGACAACTGTATGTCACCAATTCCTTTTTCAGAAATGTTTGTAATTTTAATTGGATGTGTTTTGTGTTTTTTAAAAGGACTCCTTGTAATTTTCCGACGACAAGCAGCCTACAAAGAAAGGTCAGTCGCCGAGAATGTGTTAGTCTTGGAACACAAAAAATAAATGGTGATCCTTTTTGGACAGTTTTGTCTTCAATTTTATTAAAAATATTTCTCCATCGGACGAACATTTACAGGATAAACAACATTATATTAATTTAAGCGTACAGAAACGTTGCTGCTGTTCCAGCAAAGATCTTATTTTCACTTTACCGAGTGCCTAGTAGGTAATGTGCAGATTACCTAGATACTCTGCACATTACCTAGATAATTTGAGAAATGGAACAATTTTCGCAACTTTAACGGATCACCCTAGTTAATCTGCAGATTAGCTAGGTAATGTATACATTAACGGCTTTCGAGCTTTAGCGGTAACATATACATAACAGCCGGGAAAGTAAAATCGCC